CATAGTGAAGTTGGAGTTATGTTCACCAACTGAACGCTCTCATAAATCAGCTATAAATCCCATGCAAAACCCACATTGTCCTATGGTTTCCTATGGCCTTCTTGGGGGCACCACATTGGTTCACAGGATCATCCCCAAGACGCCTTGCTCTTGGAGCCACTCTGCAACCTGGAGGTTGGGTCTCCGCCATGGGAGAACGGGCTGCTGGGGTGTTGAACAACGGCGGGCTGCAGCGTGGATGGCGGGGAATAATCTATACATAACTTATAGGCTGTGCATGGCTGTGCAATATATTGAGAAACCAGTTTATGAATCGGATAGACTGAAGGTAATTATACAATACTATACGTGTATATGACCCACTTGCTTCATTTGGTGAGGCTTTGAACTGGATATCTCCGATTATCCCCATGGCCCGGAATCCCCATCTTCCAGCTAAGTTGGACTATGAATGTTTATGATACTTGTAAATATATAGTTCATGGATGTTAATGGGTTTATAAATTAACATCTATAGTCCATTAACAATATATGTACATATATAAACCCCATTAACATCCATTAACTATATAAACCCCATTAACTAATATGTATATATATATTAACATCCATATTAACTAAAATTAACATCTATAGTCGATTAACACATCCATTAACTATATAGTCCATTAACACATGTTTTTTTTCTGGGTGTGTCTTTTTTTCAGGCGGAGGAGGCTGAAAATGGTGAGACCTCGCAGTCTTCGAGGCGCAGATTGCGGACGGTCCGACGGTGTTTTTTTTCCCACTTCCAAGGTGGTTCCCCCGTTGTCCGCTTAAACAAAATGGTGATTTAACGATATCTTAATGGGATTTTATGTGGATTTGTTTAGTGCCAGTCTCCTCATTTTGAGGCTAGACGATCGCATTTTCCGACTACCCATGGGCCTAGCATCTTGGATGGTTGCTGGCGGCTCATAAACGCTTAATATTGTGGTTGTTGGTGGCTAATAGACCCTTAACATCGTGGTTCATGGTGAGTCTGTCTGATTTTTTTTTTTTGCAGCCCCAACATGGTATATCCTATTAGAGAAAAATATAATGAACCACTGGATGTTGGGGTACCCTAGTTTCGGGCAAAATGATATATATATATATTATATGTATATATGTTCAACTTTCAACGTTTGATGTCAAGATGACCTGAAAATTTAGGTTTAGAGTGATTTATGGCATTGTGTTTTTGCCTGATATAAACAATTGCTGTTGATCATGATCTCAGCCCAGACTCTGCGCACATGGGTTCCCCCGCTCCAGCGCCCATTGTTGAAGAGAACCCAACCGACCTAAGTCACAAAAGTATCTGGCAACCAGAAAATCATGATTCAATTACAGCATCTGTGAGTGTCACCAACTTATGAAGCCAGTGGCTTACTAAGTGTACTCACCAAAAGTAAGATTTGTTTGTTGTTTATTCCATCTTTGCGAATCTATAGGGATTTAAATATCCGGATGTGTTTTTCCAACAGGTCCAAAAGGTCCAACAGGTGAACATCTTGGATATCCACATGTTGAGTCCATTCCGTTCAGCTTTGAAATTGTTTGAATGACCCACTTGGGTGTGCATCCCACTTACTAAGTGTTTAATAACCCATACTGCCCATACTGTATCAACGTTTTACCCCGATATATAACTGGACATATTCCATATATAACTGGATACTGGGGCATGTTGCGGGGGCATACCCTTTAAGCCTTTGGAATTCAATCAAGGCGATTGAACATCGTATATCAATGGGGTTTTAATGGGAAAATCAACTATACATGGCTGAGTTTCCATTGCCATGTTTGAGTACGGGATGGTATATCTATGATGTATATTAATGTCCTACTATTGTCCCATAAATATGCCACCATTTTCCCGATTAAACCATGCATTTTCTGGTGGTTGACCACCTAGCACATGCATCTCCTTGGCCAAGGAAGTCGCTGCGGATTTTTTGGCCATGCTCTGTGAACACATCGAGGAGCAGCGACTGGGGCTGGGCGGCAAGTTCCGACACAACCATGAAACATGTTGATTTCACCAAGAAAAACATGTGATATCATTGGATACAATAGACATTTAATGGGTATAATGGGAATATCTTGGATATATCATGGAACTTGGTAACTGCGGCCTGGCATGTCGGACTGTTTCTTGAGTCACTTAAGTCACTAGATCTATGATGTGTGGATGGCCCAGTGGGAGTCTTTCCAGAAATGGTCAGTTTTGCTATCGATTGAACACCATACCCTCTGGTAATTTATCATAGTTATTGAACATGAACATTTATAGTTGATTTACCTATTATAAATGGTGATTTTCCAGTTCGCTTTCTGTATGTTTACCAGAGGGTAAGTGTCAGGTTTGTACCGGGGGTGTCTGCTATCACATTCCCATAATTGGGTCACTGAAAGTTCAGAATTCCCCGTGTTGCTTGAGGATTTCCAAGCGATATAGCATGAGTGGTTGGTGGTTTGGAACAGAATTTTTATGACTTTCCATATATTGGGAATTTAATCATCCCAACTGACGAACTCATATTTATCAGAGGGGTAGGTATACCACCAACCAGATGATATAGCAATCCCTCAGCTTAGTGAGAATGGCTTTTCACACAGCTTTGCTGAAAACCCCAGATACAAGCTGATTCATAACCCCATCTAAGTGTAGATGTATCCACCAGAAATCCCAACATTGGCCTAGTTATAAACTAACTTTAGCGAACGAACTGGAACTGGTGCAGCACCTTCTGGAAATCATGGTGAAATTCAACATATGGGGGTTTCTTAAAATGCGGGATCCCCACCATAGGTTTCAATATGTTTCAATGATCTAAAAAACTGGATGATGTGGGAATGTTTCGCAAACCTCCACGTAAATTGGGGATTTTCAAGTTACCATATATAGGTTTCAATAATATGTTTCAATGATCTAATTCTGGATGATGTGGGAATGTTTCGGAAAGCTCCATATGTCGAAAATCCTTGATTTTTCCCATGGGGACCCCCAAACCACATCCATGAGTCCACGCTGTGAGCCTGCTGTGATCGACCAGGATTCCTTCTTTGGTCCTGGCGAGGTGGGAACGCAAGAAGCCATGGTGACACCGGTGATTTAATATCAAGCATCTAATTATTCATCACCAAAGAGATTTAAGTTATTTGATGTTTGATATATACTTAATGGTGATTTGAGATTTAGGTTATATATTACAATATGTTTTCAAACATGAACATCTGGATAACCAGAGAAGATTTTCTTCAAATAGTCATTCTGAATGGAAAGCCAATGGTTTTGGGGTACCAAAGGGTACCACAATGTCATACCCAAATGTGCGGATTTCAGGCACAACATTTGTTGATAATGATAATCCATTTGTTTTTTGGGGACGAAGACCATCTACCAGCTGTTTTACAAGATGTTCACTAGGCCCACCACGCTACACATATCCAATACTTGATCCTCCTTCGGGCCCAGTAGGGAGTGGTGTTTTAGATCCACATAAAAATTATCCTTTCAAATCTCCATGAATCCTGGGAAAAGTTTATCCTCTGCTTATTTAACATAGCCATGGTATAGATGGCCCATTTATAGATGGTTTACCCATAAAAAATGGTGATGTTCCATAGTTATGTTAGTTTACCAGAGGGTATCCCATCTTAAAAATGAGATGATGATCCCAATTCATGATTTTTGAAGGCTCAGCCACCAACCATCATTTGATGTAACGAAGAACAGAACAGCTTAAGTTTCCACATTTGACAGCAAATATTGACGAGTTTCCGTGTTTTGTTTCGGCCAAACTATATACTCCCTTGGAATGTTTATTATCATAAATTTCACTTATCATAACTGCCATGGTTAGATCATTGTAGAATGAATTATTAAGCCAAGACTTCTAGCGGACCATCAACTATAGAGCTGGGCAATGGACACCAATATGTTACTGTGTCCTATGGTTTTGTTGCACTATCAAGTCAGCATGTCTGTAACATTCTGTACCCTCTGGTAATTTAACAGTTTGCTATTGTAAATGGCCATAGAAATAGTTGATTTACCCATTAAAAGGGATGATTTTCCACAGCTATGTTAGTTTATCAGCGGGTAACTGTACATTGAATTCGGTCAAATCCAAGGACGCCATCATCTTCGCATGCCATCACTCGACACGCATCCAGGGGCAGTCGGCCTTGGAAGATAAATCCATTCTCCGAGGACTGGCGTCCACCGATGGCGCCAGGCAAAAAATCAAGAGCCAAGAGAAGCCGTGTAGGTCATCGGCGTTTCCCAATGAAACAGCTCTCTTTTGGTTGGTTTCCCCATTTATCTGTTGGTTTTTTTCATGCCCAACTAATCATTAATTACATATAATTAGCAAATCTCCAAATACCACCAAATCCCTACAGTCGCAAACTTGGATGAAAGGAACGTTTACCAGCCCCAATTATTCATGATAAGACACATGATTTCCCGCAAAGTGTCCCTTGTACCAAGAAATTCAAGGCAGTGCCCCCCGAACCTTGGAAGTTGGGTGTATAAACCCATCTAATGTGGACAAAAGAATGCCATAAACCATCCCCCAGTCATCACCATAGATAGGTGGTATAAACATGTAGAAAAACCATTCCCAGTCATGGGTGGTTTCTGGCATTGTTTTACCCACATTGTAGTTTTTACAATCACTATAAACCCAACAGTTCATCAAGTTGTAAGTTAACTTAGCTGACTATGTGGCACCACCTTGTACACAAATATGGGAATCCAGTGGCACAGTGGTACCCTAAAATCCCTGTTCAATCAAGCATATATGATATATTATCATATATTGGGGTCAAATCCACCATTTTCAGTCACGCCCAAACCATATTGTTGGCTAATTATATGATATGTCCCATTCAATTCCCATCGAATACCACAAATGTCGGTGACATTTCCCCTTTGTTTCAGTGCCTACCTTCACAGGCCATCTTCAAGTATGGCGAGGAATGCTTATATGGCGTCAGCCTTTTGGCAGAAGTTTGAGTGGAAACCATTACCTGGGTCCGTTCTCATCACCGTCATAATTAGGCACAACATGTCATAATGATAAACCATGGTGGATGTAGGGGATTTACACATAGTGGGGACATGTGTTGACCATAGAATGGGGGTGCTTCATATGAATGGGGGGGTGGGATTCTTCATTCATATCCATAATCATTATCAATATCCAACTATATTAATATAGTTTATGTCATTGTAAAAGAAATGATAACTATATAAGTTTATATAACCCATTAATACCCAATATCGACTGCATTTTTGTGTGTAAAATCCCCTTGAAGAATGCTGGCTTGCTTCGGGATCATGTTATGATGCACCCAAGATTTCCCGTAACTATTTTCCATTCGGTGCAATTAATAATGTCCTGGTTGGTGGTTTGGAACATGAAATTTATTTTTCCATATCTTGGGAATTTCATTTCATCCCAATTGACGAACTCCATCATTTTTCAGAGGGGTAGGTATGCCACCAGCCAGTGTCATATGAAACTGCTAACATGAATAATTGTTACGGGAAGTCCGTGGTAGTTTTTAAAGAATCAGCCGTCTTTTCCATGTCATGGTGAAGTCGCCACTGGAGGATCTAGCCTTGGTGAGTTTCAGCTTTCGGATACCTTCTGGTAATTTGTTACATAGCTATTGAATGGTCCTTTTATAGTTGATAGATGTTGATAGTTGATAGTTGATTTCCCTATTCAAAAATGGTGATTTTCCAGTTCGCTATGTTAGTTCACCAGAGGGTAAACCATCATATATCCCATTGGTAGTTTTGTCCAGTTAAAAAGGGCAGAGGATCAAACGATCTTGGTGAACTCCGTCTTTGGGTCTGAAAAATTGGGTATCCCTAAGTCCATTGGTTTATCATCATTCTCTCAGTCAAAGTGACCTAAGTGAGGGAGGTGGGGGCAATTTCCATTTCCAGAGACACCAATATCACATATTTATCATACTAAGTTTCCATTAAATCCTCACTAACATCCCCCCTATTGTGAATCCAGTAGGTGACATTGCTGGCTGGCGAAGTGGACATTGAGACGGACTTGGGGGTGGTGCAGGTGCCATCTCTGAAAATGAAACAGCCAGCGCTTTGCCGGGGACTTAACCAACAGAAGAAACAAAATATGGGAAACAGGGATCAAACTATGGTTACTAAGTGTTCCTACCCATGGTTAATTAATCATTGATCCCATCTAATCATTAATATAGTAACCATTAATTGATTAATCAGTCATTGGAGGTTTCCAAAAATGGTGGTACCCCCATTAAAGTTTAAAATGGAAAATCCCAACAACAAATGCATGATTTTGGAGGTACCCTTATTTGAGGAAACCCCTATATGGGGAAAAAAAAGGATCAAAAGGATAGATTTGTCTATAGCTTACTATTGCGGCTACGCCGTATCTCTCATTGACTCATATGTGTGCCATGTGTAATGTGTAAAATAGTCCATAATGACAACAGTCAGTGATGCATGATAATATGATATGCTGCATGCTATTGTTTTACCGTGTGGCCAGCAAATACTATACATGTTGACATATGTTTCGTTCTTGTGCCAGCTTGTTGTCCACAAGAGCATTGCCGGTAGAGACAAACTGCGACTGGTATCAGGTGCCAACAACGACAGCTTGGTTGGAAATCCAAACATTTTGTGGATTGAAACAGTGTAGCACGGGTGCAAATGTCAAAACTGCAAAGTACTTAGTTGGTCTAACCCCTGCTGAAACAGCAACTAGATTGTCCATGTTGCGATTATATATAAGTATATATATATAAGTATATATATATATAAGTATATATATAAGTATATATATAAGTATATATATGTATATATATAAATATTATAAGTATATATATATATTATAAGTGTGTATATATAAGTATATAAGTATATATATAAGTATATATATAAGTATATATATATAAGTATATATATAAGTATATATATAAGTATATATACAAGTATATATATATATATATACGTATATATATAAGTATATGTATATATAATTATATAATATAAGTATATAGATATATAAGTATGTATAATTATACGTATATATATAAGCATATATAAAAGTATATATATAAGTATATAAGTATATTTATATATATATACAATTATATAATATAAGTATATATATATATATAAGTATTTATAAGTATAAGTATATATATATATACAAGCATATATAAAAGTATATATATATAAGTATATATATATAACTAGTTTGCCTTGTTTATATTATATCAATTTTATCAATAATATCATTGTTTTGTCTTGACCCAACTATTTTTAGATCCATCAAGTCTTTCTTTTCCCATCGCGCCAGGCGCGACTGCTTCCCAGCGAGGTCTTCGGTGAAGGCTCCATGGGTGCGCAGACGTTGCGCAACGCCTCGGCGCGCGCCTGGTCCAATGCGTGCCCCGTGTTTTTTTTGGCGCGGTGGCACCAGGGGGATGCTAAGGGAGGTGGGATTTTTACCAGCAAAATGCGAGGTTTTCATGGGTTTTCATGGGACTGGGGTGGGATTTAGATGGGATTGAGATTTCGATTTCATGTGCTAAGTCAGTTGAAATAACTCCGAGTTATTACGATTTGTTGATTTGTGATGATGATGTATCCAAAGTTCATGGGGCTACAAACTTATAACTCGGGAGTGGCACCACCTTGTATTGTAGTTACGGGGAATACATCTATATACAGCAGCTCCCAACAAAATAAACAAGTGCACATATCCTACACAAATGACGGTCATAGTTTTCCTCAAAAGAAAAATGACATGGTGTGCGTGTTATAATCAATGGCCATTTCAGAAACCTAAATTGGAGGTACCTACCATATATAAGGCCTATATAAGGCCTATGTAAGGGAATATCCCTAGAAAATATGCCCTTATATGGTACAGTACCTCCATTTTAGGATCCTGAAATTCCCATTGATATAATACATATATATATATACACACATACCCATATTTTCAGAAAAGCCCGTATATCCAGCGTTGTAAATCTACACTATCAGACGGTCAGTATCTGGTCAGGGGGACACCTTCCTGAAGGTGGCAAACGATTGATAGGCGCTGATAAAGGGGTTGTATATGGTTGTATCATGTTATATCATGTTGGATCATGTTATATATCATGTTATATTCCAATACCTACCAGTTATCGGTGGTTTGAAGCCAATGACCAATCAGTAAATAATCCACGTTTCACTTGTGACACCGGAGATGTGCCCAAACATGTTCTCCTGACTCCTCCGCAACTTGGCCATTGAAATAGTTCATTTACCTATATAAAAAATGGAGATTTTCCAGTTCGCAAACTGTTCATTTACCAGAGGGTAATCCAAATGTTTGAATACTGAATCTGGTTGGTGGTTTGGAACATGGATGTTATTTTCCCATAGTCAGTTGGAATTTAATCATCCCAACTGACTCATATTTGTCAGAAGGGTTGAACCACCAACCAGCCTTGCTTGAAAGGAATCCTTCAATAAGCCCTTCTTCAAATGGGAAAAACAAGGTGGTGCCCTTTGGTTATCAGTTGTTTCGAAACCCCATCTAACTATAGTCACTTCACCATAAACCCATGGTTGACCCATCTATAGACCAATTCAGCTACCAAACTGGGGCCACACCTTTCATCATTGTTCCCAGTTAAATGCTTGTGTTTGATAATAAAACATCGTAAAATCACCATGTTTGATAGTAAAACCTCGTAAAACCACCGTTTTTGAGGGTGAACTCCAGTCAAATGTTGATGATTGATCCATGTATGCTATATAGGGTAACATTTACCATCAATATACCCCAAATGTTAGCTATATATATATATATATACCATACATGGATCCTATGGGTATTGATGATTTTCTCATGTCTCGTCCCGTTTTTCGTTGCTCCTCATAGGTACGTCCATTGCGCCCGGATCCACGGCGCCTCCATCGCCAACGCCCTGAAGAAATTTCCGCAGGACGTCGGGACGTCGGGACGGTTCCCGGTTGGACGTAACGGGAGAAACCTGGGATTCACCCAAGAAATGGATGGTTTGTTTGGGTGGAAAATCCGATGAAAATGGATGGTGAGTGGAAAATGCTCGAACATTTCGATGATTTGGGGGTTACCATTTCAGGAAACCTCCAAATTTAGTGGTTTATTGATGATTTTCCGATCAACGTGTCCATTTGCGGGGACCCTATTTTCACAAACCAACGTGATTGTAGTTACAGAAAGCCCAAAAATGATGCAGACAAGTAGACAAGGTATGAAAAATACATTGTGTGTATTTATTTGTTGGATGGTTTCTTACTTTGGTGAATATTGTTTGGTGGCTTCTATGGATGATGTGAAATGATGTAGACATGATGTGTTACATGATTCCATGATGTAAATTAAACAACATATTTCGAAATTATGTTTATGCATTTGATTTTGTGTAATCCATTTCCTGGCCTAACATTTGCGTTAATGCCAAGTACGTATTAATAAACACCCCCCCCCTAGAGGGTCTCGCTGCTGGAGAAGGTAGACCCCCCCAAATAAAGAGCAGAAAACCAAAAAATGGGATTTATGAGATTTGGAATGGGATTCATAAGATTGTCATGTAATTAATTCATGAAGCAAAGCAGAAAGGATCAGCAATATGAGGCCAGGTGGGCTGAGAGTGTTGATTAATTGGGTGATGCGTGCACATTATTTTGGGGGGACAAGCCACCTAAAGGGGTACCCCTTTGTGACCTTCTCAAAATGCATTTTTTAATAAAGAAAGTCAAAAGGAAAATGCACGTTCAAACCTTCATTTGTTTTTTGTTTTTTTTCTGGATTTGGGGGATTCAGTGAAATCATTGTGCTGCAATATTGTATATGTATATGTCTGTAAATAAATGTAAGTTTGACATTAATTAATTTGTATATATATATATAATATGTATAGTACATATACGTAATTATAGATTAGACACTGTATTCATCAGCCAGCATCAGAAATCATATCATCAGAAACATCAGAGCCAATTCCATTCTCAAGCATCAAACGCATCAAAAAAAATCAGAATTCTGAGCAGGGTGTTGATTAATTGGGGGGAGACGCTTGTGCTTATTAATAGGAGGGGACCAACCCATTTTCAAATTGCCGGAACTTTCTGGCTTTGTGCTGATTAATAGGGGCTGGTTTATTAATACTAACTTTGATTGGATTGGTTTAAGGGAAAATTTACAGGAAACCATAGATTTTCCTATTAAATATGGGTCTTTCCTGTAGATTTTCCCTTAAACCAGTCCATTGAAACTTGACATTATTCAGTTTTGGACGATATTTCTGTGACAGACAGATTATTTTTTTGGACCCCACAAATCCCATGATGAATTGCTACAGACAGTGGACCTCCATATGGTAGTCTGCCCAGCTAAGCCAAGATCTCAACTTCTTGTTGCAGGTCAAATAGATTCATATCAGATCTAGAACCCCAAACTCCAACATAGCATCCTGGAAAGCATGCCCCACCATTTGTTTGATCAGCCACAATAGGCCACCATTGAATCACCATTTGTTGCCGGTCAATTTCTGGGCGGAAGCTGAAAGCTGTTCCCACCCTGCTCCAGGAGACCGAATGGTTCGAAGACCTGCAAGAGAGGCATTACTCCAAGATGTGGTTTTTGGGAGGTCTAAGCGTCTCACCAAAAATGGGGCTGCAAAAAAAAAACATATGATCAAACAAAGACCGTGTTGACATGTGTTACTTGTACATGTTGTTATGTGTGGTTCACTTTTTTGAGATGTGTTCAATTTGTTTGGGTGGGAACACCACAGGGGAGGGCGACGGATTTGTGCAACTGCTTTCTTCACCAACGCTCTAGCACACTATTCTAAACAGCAGATTGAACATACAAGGAGTATGTTCATGTTCAATCAAAATCTTGAAAACAAACAGATGATGAGTTGACACAATATACTTCACAAAACATCTACAAACAATAGAAGTGTGGCCCCCCCAGTTCTAAGCTGGTTTATAACCCCCATTAACTATACTTACAAAAATCATGATTCTGAGTCAACAATCAAAACCTATCTGCAAAAGTCGAGTCGGTACCCTGGGCCTTGCGCAGTCGACGAGAGACCAATGCCGATTTCATGGCACGTGAGGATTCCCAGCAGCTGAATCCAGCTGAATCAAACGTGGCTGGCTGGAAAACCACCGAACAAATTGGAGGTTTATAGCCATGATGTTGTCCTATAACTGGGTGAGAAAATCATGGGAAAACCATAGCTATAGCTAGTAAAACCATACCTATAACTGGGATAATCATCATCATAAAATGGTATGTTTCAATGGGATAATCATTATCATAAACAAAGGATGTTCAATTGCCACATATTGCCACGTTTGATTAGCAGAGGGTATCCCGGGAAAATGATGTGATGTGGATGAACCCTTTTGGTAGTGGTGATTTTGCTGTACAAGCTGAATTAACATAGTCAATGTTATGCACATGATGATTTGATATAGCTGATTGATTGGTGACTTAATGGTGATTTACCTATTGAACATGGGATATACCATGGTATACCCTTTGGTAATGGTAATCGTTTACATAGCGGGCAAAATGCTTGTACAGTAATGGGTAAATCAAGTAGAAACGGGCCATTTGACATAGCTATGTAAACGATTATATACCAGAGGGTAAATGGGAGTATTTCCCATGAAGCCATGGATTAAGCAACAAACTGGATGATGGATGATGTATTTGGATGAATTCTAGCGAGCGAGGAGGAGGAATCATCCCCTCTAGGCCGACCTTTTCAGTTAGTTATACTGTTATACTATCATTTTTTGAGAAGATTGGTTAAGTGAGCCAACAAGCTGATTCTGCAATGTGGGCGCCAATTGCAAAGTTGTTTGTCTTGACTCATTCAACAGCTACAAATCCCGGGTGTTGTTGGTCAAATCACCGAAATGCCAACGTTTTTTTGCGTATCGCATTGTATCAGTGGCCGTTCCTAAATTGGTACCTACCAGATAATAAGGTCTATGTAGGGGCTATTTTTCAGGGAATATACCCGTGAAACATGACTTTAGTATGTACTAGCGTACCTCCAATGAATCGGTACCTGAAATGGCCATTGTCAACTCTGACCAAGGCCGCAATAAATGGCTGAGCCAGGAGGTTTGGGACCGGGCATGGCAGGGCCATGGTTGGGCAGTGAATGGGCAGTGAACTTGATTGATTTCACAATGGGTTCAGCATGATTCAACTAGCGAAAATGCTGGTATCATGGGGGCTTCGTCCACCAATAGAGACAATATAGATTAATATAGTGATTTCATGGGACTAAATGGTGACAATGATCAGTTTTAAATGGTTTAATGATGAATCCCATCCACAATCACTCACCAGGGCGGGGTTAACTGAAATACAATGACTCATGACTGATCATGAACAAACCTCCTAACCAGCCCTAGCCCGTCGGATGGTTGGTCAATAGTCAAAAATGAAACATCTCATCCCCATGATGTTATACGACACCCCCTCAATGGTCCTAAAGACGTGTAAGTCCCCTGCTCAACGTCATATTCGGGGGGAAGGAATTCGGTGGTTAGTAATTGGGTTTCCATGCCCCCAACAGTTTGACCCCCAGAATTGTCTCCCAACTTATCGCAGGGTCTTCATGTTCGGCTGTGGCCAGGGTTTAATCAAATATGTTTTTAAGTTATAGAAATGTGGCGTGTTATGTTGAGTCCATGTCACTTTGTAGACATCTCTGCAAGGCTAAATCGTTCATCCTAGACTTGCTTCAAGGGGAACATTTGCAGGACACTTTTATTCTTGGGTGTAAAGACAAACATTGGATTTTCAGCATCAGAATGACAGACAACACCGCTGTGGTTCAGGGTCTTGAAGCTTGGCATATACACGTGACAAGGAGGCCTGATACCCCTGATATATAGTTGTGTTATGTTGTGTTTTGGTGGGAAATGTGGGTGAGGAAAGCAACACACACCACTGGAAAAGGCCTCCAGCAGAAATTGCTGAACTGTGGAAGATGATGTTGAGTGGCGCCCCGCAGTTCTACATGCGTGAGAAGACCCAGATCTAACCATACTTGTTGTGTTTCACCACCATTGCCATAAACCATAGTTCACCATACTTATATAAACATTATAAACCCACCGTAAACATCCGTAAACCATATTTTACCAATGTTAACTATACTTCTCCATACTTATGTTCACCAACTTAGCTATTTTTCACTGCGACCTTGTTGGCCCCCTGAATTCGAGGTGATTCCTGCGCTGGCCAAAGTGAACCTGTTGAGCATTCACGTCCGATACTCAGATCTCCAGTTCACCATGGGTTTCAATCTGTTTCAATACCAATGCTGGTTGGTGGTTTGGAATATGTTTTATTTTTCCATCTATTGGGAATAGTTACCCCAACTGACTAATATGTTTCAATATGTTTCAATACCAATGTTATTTACCTATTAAAAATGGAGATTTTCCAGTTCGCAAACTGTTAATTTACCAGAGGGTAATCCAAATGTTTGAATACTGAATCTGGTTGGTGGTTTGGAACATGACTTTTACTTTTCCATTCAGTTGGGAAGAATCATCCCAACTGACTTTCATATTTTTCAGGGTAGGTATACCACCAACCAGCAATGTCATTGTCTAATTTGGGGCTATTCCTATTTTAGGAGACCTCCAGGTCTTTCATTTTAGTGGCAGATTCCACCGTTTAAGTAGAATTTGCCACTAGGATATGTGTATGTGTAACCTTTGATGGCCCCCGTTCAGCAGATCAAAGACAACATTGGAGATGATCCTATAGATGATCCTGTAATGACTATCACTATCATATTTCTCTAACATGACATTGTAAAACAATACACAGAAAATAAATATCATTATTTAAGACATCAACAGACATAAACAAAACCTTGTAAATCCCTCATAACATCACCTTTTTTCAAGCATTCCGGCGCCATCCCCGTTTGACGGCGGAATTCAGGACGAGCTCTTTCTGGCCGACATGGCTGCGCCGTTGATCGAGAAGCAGTGGGCTGCCGGTGAGGTGCCGATGGAGATATTGATGAATCGTTCAGATGGTGGGAACTACGTAGTTTCGGCAAGATGAAGATGCAAGATGAAGCAATGAATATGATGTTTTCTCTTGAACTGGGAGACTTGTTCATTTGAGGTTGTGATTAGGGGTTGTCCTCTACTCCCATGTGCAAGTGTGCAAGGCAAAATTGGATATCTCCCAGAGAATGCGCGGGGTTCCATGTACAGTAAAATATGTTTCAGCGTTTTGCAGAATATTTGTTTTGGTTGCTACAAGGTAGCTTCCCCGTCGTTGGTAAAAATGTTCACCCATCAAACTAGATTCTTATAATCACCGGAAGCCCAACAGTCAATCTACTGTCATAATCAGCTTTGCTAAGGAGGCATAGCATGAAGTGTTTATGATTTGGTATATATTTTGGTCTTGACCACACCCACTTCATAGCTCAAAAGCCTCCTTTTGATGGGTGTCACTGGGTGTCACTCGAGTTCCAGAACAGAAATTCAGAACTTTCATGGCCACTTGGTCAATCTCTTCTGTGTACCTTCATCCGGGATCGGAAAGCCACGGAATTTTGCCTAAGCTCCAACAGTTTCCAACATGTTGATGGAAGATTTGACTCAGTCTGTCCAAGACTTGGACAGTTGATGTGGGTATGGGTCAATACCTATAGATACATTTTTAGTGGGATGAACATCCATTTACCAGCTATTTTGATGTTCACCAGGGGTACAAGGTTTTGACACACTGCCATGTGAGTTTCCTAAGATTTTCATGGTTTTCCATGGTTGCCCGCTTGCCATGAAATTGCCCAAAGTGGCCCCCATCGTGGCCCAGCTCTATATTCAACAGCGAGGTGATCGTCCAGAAAGCTGCGGAAACGGATGCCATGATTGCCCCGCCGGCATGTCTTGTTGGGGTTGAGTGTACCAGCCATCAGTGATTGAAATCTCAGGAAAAATCCACATTTTTCATCATTTTTCCATAGTCACCACAAGGTGCTGCCCCCAAACGGTATGTTTAGAGATGTTTAGATTCAGCCCATGAAAACTTCATGAAAACTAGTTCGATATATATCACCAACAAAAACCAGAAATTGGATATAATCCCAGTTATAAGATGGTTTATAATCCCATTAACTAGTTCGTTATAGGTACCATAAACCATCGGGAAATTGGAGTTCCGTGGCCCCCAACGGTTCACGCGTAGACAATCGTCGACGGGGGCACCACATGATCTCCAGGTCCTTCTGGAAGGAGAAGCGCGGATTGAGGCGTCTGGCATGGGGATTTATAGTTTTTTTCTAGGGAAACTATGGAAAAAATCACCATTTTTAAATAGGTAAATGAACTATAAATGACCATGTTATGAAGTATTACCCTCTGGTTATGTCAAAATAAGCATGGAAAATAAATGGCCCATAGAAATAGATGGTTTACCGTCCTTAAAAGTGGTGGATCTTTCCAGTTTGCTATGTTAAATAACCAGATGGTATGGGGAAACTGTGGGAAAATGGTGAATGAATTAATCATGGGCACTTAGATAAGAGATAATGGGATATAAGTTACGAATAATGCCTGAGATAACATGATCTTAGGAGACCCTGTTATCTGTTGGGTCATCCTGGTTTTCCAGATTTGAGATGAAAAGGAGCACATTGGTTGTGACATGTTTGGTGACGAGGAGAACACATGTATGCAGCGTATGCATGTTGATTTTAGCCAGTGATACCTGAAGTCAATGGCACGTTTTCCTGAAATTCCGTGTGCAGCATCTGCACTCATTCTGACCACACGCTCCTACTGCAATTTGCGATGTTTTCAAATTGGGTGAATAATGCAGTGAATTTGTGAATCCCAAACTGGGTGGTTTTCAACCATTTTCAACCGGTATGTTTCATTTGACATGATGATTTTTGCCGTCGCCCTACAAAATGCGTATGCTGTCTCCAAGAACATTTTGACCAAGAAATAATGCTTATAAGTTGTCTCCAACAACATTTCCCATAGGATCCATGTATGCTATATATGGTAACATTTACCATCAATATACCCCAAATGTTAGCATATATACCAGCACCATGGATCCTATGGGTTTTGGGGATGTGTGGCCAATGGCCATGACGTCACTTCGTCACAACTCGTCCCGTCAATAGGCGCAAAATGGCCGCTGCATTGACTACTACGACGCTTCGAACGGAAGTGCGGCGTTCGGAGAGATGGCCATGCTAGGCGCGGCGCGTTTTGGGATTGAGGAAAGCATGTTTTTTTCACCTCCAATCATACCACATACACCAGAATTATCTATATAAGATTATATATATATATATAAGTATATGAAGTTAGTCCAAACACCTGAGCAAACCATTGGATTCATGATGGATCTGTTGTAATTCCAGGGATTTATACAGTCTAAGTGATTAGCTGGGCCCAGGCGTAGCACTTGGCCAGGCCTCATGCGTACCAATCCGGCCACGGTGCGTGCAGCCACCGCCTGTCGGACCCTGGCAGTGCCACTCGGATTCTGACGGGTGATGGGTGTACAAGATCCAGACCGATCAATAATAGCTTGACAAAAATCATAGTACATTATGGTTTTCAAGATAGTAAGATAGTATATAATTGGATGTAATTAGTAGTTCATTACTAATTAGATTATTACAAAGTGGGGTTGATGGTTTTCTATGATTGTATATTATTGTAATAGGAAAACATTAGATAACCATCGATAATAGATAGGCTTCCATGCTCACCAAAATGTCCTCAAGTATCAACATCAAAACATATCAACGGTCGCTGGAGTCGCTGGGTCTGCTGGTATAGATTCAACCTTTAACCTCTGGTTTGATCAAACAGAAAACTATGGAAAATAACAATGCTATTATAATGGCTAAATCAACGAACTAAACGGCCATTTTCAAGTTCGCAAACTGTGAGTTTACCAGAGGGTAACATTGCTCAAGGTCAACAGATTCATACGCGCCCCTTGAAACGTGGTGCCTCCCGTGAAATCTTTGCTGAGCTTCATCCTCAGCGGTCGGCCCTGAGATTCTTCGAATCACCACCATCCCAGCAGTTGATATAGGTATAAAATCATATAACTATAAGTCCATCTAAATACTTAAAATCAACAGTTATTTCCATAAGTTAAAACTACTATAGTAAATCATAAACCACCATAAATCCATCATAAGCCCTGGACATCAACTATATAAATCAACCCAACAGTTTACCCAGGTATACCTATAGTTATCAACTGACCGCCTTCCTTGGCGCAGGCGACAAAGTGCGCTCAAGCGGTCCTTGGATTTGCCGACGCGCACGCCGCAAGAGCGCCAGGCACAACGGCCGGCGGCACAACGGTGGTGACCATGTGGTGAAATACCCGGTACATCCCCAACTAGAACATTAGAATGGTTAATATTGGTTTTTAATGGTTAAGAATGGTTAGTATGGGTTTATAGTGGTTGATAATGGATAAACTAACACTTTGCGAACTTGAACATGGCCATTGAGTTCGTTGATTTATGTATGCACGGTGATGTTCCATATTTGTTGTATGTTTACCAGAGGGTAGTTTGATCATGTTTAATCCATCTTAATCCTTTATTTTTTGTTATAAATGGAACATCACCATGAGCAGCAAAAGATTGACCATGCATTTGGTAATCAAATGTGGTTAGTTGGAATAATCCTCCATTTATAGAGGAATTTCATGGAATTTCTCATTTAAATGGCCATTTACTTGAGATTTCCCACCATGTTTGATTGCCGGAGGGTAATCGTTTAACCAATCAAACATATTCAAACATCGGAGTTGAAGAACAAGATGCTAGAGAATGTTACCAGCATATTCGGATATTAAATCCACAAAAGAATGGCATCTTGAGTCACAACTGTGCCATAGCGCCAGCATTTTGGGTAAATCGCCACATTTGTTCCCTATATCAATCCTATTCCCCACACCTTGCACTTTTCGGGCAAGTGAAGTGACTGGGACTACTTCCATGATCTTCCATGTTTATCAACGATGGCGTCATGGGTGGGGTGGGAGACGACCAAGTAAGCGCCTACCGATAGTGGGATAATCCCCCAAGGCTAGATGGTGAAGTGGTTGGTTGAAACAGGTGTAAGCAGTCAACAAGTGCTTTGCTACCTTGTCAACAAGTGACGAGTCATAAATCATTTGCTGACACCAGTGATCGTCTTAACACAGCCAAGGATACAAGTTGTGTTTGCTGGTGTGAAATATATGATTCATTTCTGACAAGGAACCACACCAAAGAATCAAATCGGGCTGGGCTACAACCTTCACCAGGGATTGGTAAATGTCCCATTTTGGGTATATTGGACATCACCTTATAGTAGCCATGAAAAAGACCATATACCATTCATGGTTGGGTGATGTGAAAAATGGGGACATCAGTCATGACCCATGTTCACACTTCACAGCCACTGTATCCACGTGACGTGTCGATTTGCAGTCTGCCTGCTTCACCACGGAATTGTCAATGAAAGCCCTGTGTTTGGGCACACTAAGGGACCCCTACCAGCTGCAGATGGGGTTTACACTACCTACCATTACCCCTATATACCCCTATAGCATCCACTAACTAGGCTCAAGTCCTCAAGCACCAGTTTGAAAAGCTGAGATCATCATTTAGCCAAGGAATCTGGTTTGCAACCCTTTTTTTACTACCCATCTTCCATATCACTTCTGGTTAGTAAAGCTCCCTGTTGCCGCAGGAGTTCCAACGAATCCTGGCCGAGCGGAAAGTCCAGGCTCAGCCCAAGTTCAGCGGATGTTTGAGCTGGGTAAAGCCAACGAACCATTTGGACTGGGGATATCCTATCCTTGATTTGCAGGATATTATTTTTACTTTCATCCACTACTTGGGGAGTCTTTGTTGGGAATAGTTTTTAGGGAGTTCCTCAAGCAAATACATGCTAATTATGGCATTTGGGAGTACTCTCTGTTTTTGGCCAAGGCCTTGTGTGCTTAGAGACCCATGACTGCCAACAACTTCAGATTTCCGTTGAGTCACGAACAGATTGCTTGATTCCATGTAATGTGGGAAACCCAAAACCATAACCCATCCCTAATATCACAATAAATGCGAGTACAAATTATAATCCCCAACTGGTAGGTTTATGGCATTGGGTTTAGCCTCTGGTAAGTTAACAGTTCGACTGTGAACATAATAAATCTTTAGTGGAAACTCGTCTTTCAATCCTGACTCATAGCAGGATATAGCGGGTCTATCTGAATATATAGAGGGTACCACATGATACCATCTGGTGAACATACAAAAAGCTATTGAACATGACCATTCTTAGTTGATTTACCTATTAAGAATGATGATTTTCCATGATTTTCCATGATTCTCCATAGGTTTCTGTATGTTTACCACATGATACCCTGAGTGGAGTTTCCACCACATGCCGTCTCACGCAGGTTGAAACGGGCATCCCAATGACACTTCTCCCCATCGCGGTGAGCAAGGACCAGTTCAGTCCCACATGGGATGTTTCCAGAGCCATGGGGATTCCCTATATTGATGGTTTATAAAGGAAAATCTTACCCTCTGGTTATTTAACATAGCCATGGAAGCCATGGCCCCTAGAAATAGATGGTTTACCATGGTTTACCTATTTAAAATGGGGATTGTCCATGGGTATGTTAAATAACCAGATGGTATTTAAATTGATGATTTAGGGGTAGCCGTAGCCCTATTTCAGGAAGCCTCCAACTGGTGGTACAACATGGTTTCAGTACTAAGTCATGGTCATCCTTTACGACTGGATGATTTGGGGTAGCCCCATGTGGTACAGGACACCCCCCACGCCACGTCAGTCTCAATGATTTCCATAACTTTGCCATCCGAAATTCCACCGAGGACGATCTTTGCGCCAAAGCCATTGCCCTGCAGGTGCGATGGCCTGTTGTGCTGGCCCCAAAGGTTCCACAGTTGGTTGGAAACCAATTATCGTACCCCCCAAAAAAGATAGAAACACATGCTTCCAGAATGGTTTAGATATGTTTATAGATATGTTTAGATTCTAGACTCTAGATGTTTAGCTGATATTTCCAGGTATCGATATCTTTTCATATCTTTTCTATGGTATTTGGGGTTTGCTTTAAAGGAAACTGAGACGGGGGACTAATTGGAATCCTTGGATCGTGATTTCACGGGAAACTCTGCAGGAAAGCGCCATTCTTTTCACAAAGGGCCAAGGAAACGATGGTGTTTTCACATTGTTTCCGAAAACCAACCCAATAATAATAATGATAATAGTAATAATAATGACAATAATAATAGTAATAATAATAATAGTAATAATCATGATGATGATGATGATGATAATGATGATGATGATGAACATCACTTCTTTTCTGATGGTTTTAATATGTTTTTAGAGACAGCAGATGGGTTCAATATCACTTGGCATCGCGGTTACATAGTTGTCGTATTATATATATATGGCTACCCATATGGGTATCAAAACACAAAGCCAAGATGTTGGAGAGGAAAGATCGGGGCCGAAGGATTTCATCACTTGGCGCATCACTGGATGGACTGCTGATTTGATCCGTCCCAGGCCGAGTTAAAGCCCTTGAAGCCTGGTGAGTCCTGGACCTTGGAACAAGGTTGGGCATGGCTTTTCGGTCGGCCAGGTCTTAAAAAAAGAGAAACTTTCCACAAGATCCAAATTTGGTGTCATAAAAAAAAGGTGTCATCAAACAAGTGGCACTCCAAGATGAGTAATTAACATACTAAGTGAGATGTGTTTTGACTGGTGCTCAAGCTAGAACCAAATCTTGGTAGCTCAGTCGCCACAACATCCATTGAGAAGATCCCTACCTTACGAGGTGGCTGTTTTTGCGTGGTCACTGAAGGACGTGTCGGGAAGCCCGGCTGTTTGTCATGCTGGTTGGCACGGTGCTGGGACAGAACAATCTGAAAAGACATTAGCTCACACACCTCAGCAGAAATGATGGTTTGTATGGAAGTGATCCCCAAAAATCTCAAAACCCATGGTGTTTCGAGTTTTTGATCTATAGGATTTTGTCCATATCGGATTCAATGGGGTTGCATGCCACAGCCAGTCCACCATCTTGCAGATTGGCCAGCAGATGGGTATCGATATGGATGTCAAATTTTACTTTTTATTGTAACATCTATGCAGAAGACAACCGATTTTGGATTATATCATCCGATCTTCATGGTACTATAGAAGTACTCCCAAGAAGGGACCCCAAAATAAATAGATTCAGCACAAAACCCTGGGTTCTTGGGTGGTGATAAATATCATGGGGAGGGGATTAAGAAGGACAATGTCTTCATTGTAATCCTACTATATACCAATTATAATCTCATTATATCCCCACAAAAAAACATCCAGTAATTATATATAATTAAATATGATGTGAAATTCCCAGTTCAACTATACATGCTGGTGATTCTCAGTGATGTCCATGGTCCATTACTTTTTTTTCGGTTTCGGCCCATTTCCGAGCTATGTACACCCTTGGCTAAGGCCATTCTGGAACTGGCATCGGAGAATGAGCGTCTCAGGTGGGACACAAAACGATTGGTTTGTGGCAACCATATAGCTCTGGGCTCCAAAACTTCAGTTTGCTTAAGGTGATTTGTTTAACAAAAACATGTTTTACATCTGTGTAACTTTTTTTTCTGCACTACAATGTGGAGGCCCCGCATTGTAGCCACAATTTGAGTGTGCGAAATGAATTCGGGTGATTCTTTGGATCATCGCAGTGCTGCAGGCGTTTGGGGGGAGATGAAACCCCAGCGGTGCCGGTAATGCCATTGGCACAGGGCAGCTTGGTGTTGGAGGAGCCTGGGAGATGGGAAACACTCATAGTGGGTGGCCTCATGTTAATGGGTAAATAGAGATCCCTTAGCCGTTCATATTCAACATCCCCAAGAAACCATGGTTAGGGAATGAAACCACATATGACTGGGAGCGTTTGAGGGGTGATATTAGGGATACAAGGTGAAGCCCCCAGCGTGAACTGTGTGTCAACCTCTTGCGATTTCAACGATGGCATCACCTTGCGGGATTTTTGTTGGGGGAATTATATCATGTATATCATGTCTAACAGACATTTAGGGATTTCAACCTTTAAAGCGTGGGGATGTTGAACACAGGAAAACCACCCTTTTTAATGGGTAAATCCACTATAAATGGCTGGTTGGTGGTTTGGAACATGAATGGATTATGACTTTCCATCCGGTTGGGAATCATCATCCCAACTGACGAAGTCATATTTTTCAGAGGGGTTGAAACCACCAACCAGATCATGTCTAACAATTTCCAACACACATTTAGAGATAAATCAATTTAAATACACTGTTGCTTGCCTCGCAAGAACAAAGCCATATTTGTTTTTGTAGATGCTAGGGGATTTCATGGGGATATGGAATGTGACCAGAAATATGATGGTTGAAGTATAGACCGGGCCGCATGGATTGTGGTGAGAGAAACAGTCTCAGGCTTGGATCTATTAGAGGAATATGATGGGGAAACCAGACAAGAATTGATATATGTTGTCTCATTTTATAGTGTTCTTTATAGTATTTATTTGGAATGTGTTTGTTTTATTTTACATTACGGTTTCTATTATTTGAAATTCTGACAGTCTTTTGATATGTTTGTATCATATTTAATGAGTTGTGGTTGTGGTATTATTCTAAGTGTCCTAGACATGTGCATGGGTGATGGGATTGTGTTCATTCTCAAGGGTTTTGTTGTTTTCCTTCCAAATGGAAGATGACAAGGCAAACCACCCATGTTTAAGTGTTATAGTGGTTCATTTTGGAACAATACTTTAGGATACTTCAAATTAGAACCAGTTGAGCATGGAAACCAGTGACTAGATATGACGATCGACCCGATCTATGGCTGTTGCAATCAGGTACTCATTTGTGAGCCATGGCCAATCGACTAATTTGGGATGATTTCTTGGAAATGCAGTTCCAGTGGATAAAGTGGATATATAGGGGATATCCCCCAATTTCTGGGGGGTTAATTTACCATGGTTATATATATAATATATATATAATATATATATAATATATAATATAATATATATATATAGCCATAGTGTTATATCCCAACTTATGGCGTTTAAATTCCCACGGATATACCATGTCTAAGCATAGTTATACCATGGTCATGTTATACCCATGGAGGTTTCTATGGTTATTCCAACTTATGGTGATTGTTTACCATGCATAACCATGGTTTGACAATTAACCATCGGTTATACCCCTGGTAAACTAACAGTTTGCTACAGAAAATCACCATTTTTACTAGGTATATAAATCAACCATCAATGGGCCATGTTCTGTGTCGCTATGTAAGAAATTACCAGAGGATATCCCACTTATATCCCATTAATATCCCATATAGTCCCATGAACTCATGATAAATCCCATTGAATCACTATAAAATCAATGTCACCTCTGATAAACTAACATAACTATGGAAAATCACCATTTTTCATGGGAAATTCACTATAAATGGCAATTTTCAATAGCTATTTTGACATAACCAGAGGGTATCACCTCTGGCAGCCCCCCAAGACCTGGGCCCCTGGGCTGCTGGGCCACCAGGACTTAGCTGCTGAGCTGGGCTGCCGCGTGCGAGCGCTCACGCACCTCAAGGCGGGTCCGGGACGACGACGGAGATGGCTGAGCCGATGATGTTGTTTTCTTTTCTTTTTTTCTGATGTCAATGATACACATTAGTATGTATGTATAATATATATATATATATAATTAATATATATATATAATTTATCTAAGATTTAAAAGGTATGCTTTCATATGGTTCTATCTTATGCGAGAGGTTCGTGGCAGTTTAAGGTGGCAAGTTCGGTGGCGGTGGCAGTTAGATATGGCAATGTGGGTGGCAATTTCAGTGGCAATGAAGCGTTGGTGGCAAGTTTGATGGCAGAATGTGATGGCAAAAATGGTGGCAACCGTATTTTGGTGGCAAAAGGGGTGGCAACTTTGCATGGCAAAAATTGAGCCGGAAGTTTAGCAATCACATTTTGGCGGCAGCAGAGGTGTCAAAATTTGATGGCAGCTTTTTGGGCAGAAAAGGTTGCAAACACCTTCAGTCACAAAAAGGCGTTGAGTGTACATGGCACATGTTGACAGAAAGGGTGTGAGAGACTTTTTTGCGTGGCAGGCGTGGCACTTATGGCACTGGGCTGGCTCTGGTGGCGCGCTCCGCCAGTGCTTGGCAGGCGTGGTACTTGGCGACATGTACGTGCATTCTGCGTGGCAGGTGCGGCACTTGGTGACATCCACCTTCTTTCACGAACCATCTTTCACACACCACTTTGTCACACACCATCTTTCACACACCATCTTTGACACACTATATTTCACACACCATCTTTGTCGCACACCATCTTTCACACACCAGCTTTCACACACCATCTTTCACCCACCTTTGTCTCACACACACACACTAGACAAGAATGGATCATTATATGATCCGGCAGGAACTGAATCCTGAAACATGCAGATTAGAAATGAAATCTAAACCAAACGTAAAAGATCAAAAAATAATTCCAGATTGCGACAACCGTGAAGTGAAATTGCAGCTGGGCGGTTCTAGGCTTGGCCGCGTGCCATGTCAGTCAAAAATTGCAACGAAAAATGCAGGTACGTCCAGCTGGCCAAGCTGGATATCCCATTTCACTGGTAGCTTCGTTGGACACAGTCCCAGTGAAATGCTGTGTCCCCCTGCACTCGGTTTAAAAAGGAAGAGGACAGAAGGAAGAAAAAGAGAGAAGTTTTACATCTATTCAGATGTTACACACACACACCCGGCCAGAGCCGGGTCAACCCTGAAAGGCAAGAGGAAGAAAAAAGCGGACACACGAAGGGCAAAAGGCCGAAAACAGCGCAGGGGGGGGAGGGGAACAGACGGACCTCCGGAACCAACCTACACGGCGAAACGGACCTGACCAAAACAGCGCACGCACCTAAACCCCACGACACATTACGGAGAAGCACGCGGGGGAATTAGGGACCAAATGGGGGACTAGTTGATGACAGACAGGAAAACCAAAACAATTAGTAAAACAACAGGATTCGCAGGACTCAGTTCCTAGACCTACTGTTCGTGCGATTATTCCCTTCACCGGGACCGTGGTCAAGTCTTGCCCCAATTGGCATAAAACAGCTTTCAAGTTCCATCGAATTAGATGCACAATATGTTGCACCTCACCAGGCAACCATCAAAAGGAAGAATACCACACCTGCAAGACGTGTGCCTGCCTGATTCATATGTCATGACATGATGCACTAGCGCTGCAAACGCTGCTGCAAAAAACGGAGGTTTCAGGCTGTTCAGAGCAGTGCCACTTGAAAGAGCGCAGATCACTGGGGTCCCTGGGACAACAGGAACAGCGGGTCATCGTAAAATGGTGCAGAACAGTAAGGCCAACTGTTGCGATTTACTTAGATGAATTACTAAATTAAAATGTGTAAATTCGGCAGTCAAGACAGTCATCACTCACCCTAAAAAGGGTTGCCTCAAATGGCTCCATGGCACCATGTCGGAGCCACCATGGAAATCACACTAGACAAGAATGGATCATTATATGATCCGGCAGGAACTGAATCCTGAAACATGCAGATTAGAAATGAAATCTAAACCAAACGTAAAAGATCAAAAAATAATTCCAGATTGCGACAGCCGTGAAGTGAAATTGCAGCTGGGCGGTTCTAGGCTTGGCCGCGTGCCATGTCAGTCAAAAATTGCAACGAAAAATGCTTGCAGGTACGTCCAGCTGGCCAAGCTGGATATCCCATTTCACTGGTAGCTTCGTTGGACACAGTCCCAGTGAAATGCTGTGTCCCCCTGCACTAGGTTTAAAAAGGAAGAGGACAGAAGGAAGAAAAAGAGAGAAGTTTTACATCTATTCAGATGTTACACACACACACACCATCTTTCACGCACCACCTTTCACACAGCACTTTGTCACCCACCATCTTTGACACACCATCTTTCACACCACTTTGTCACACACTTTCTTTCACCACACCATCCTTCACACACCATCTCTCACACACCAGCTTTGACACACCATCTTTGACACAACATCTTTCGCACCATTTTTCACACACCGTCACAGACCCATCTTTCGCACACCACTTTGTCTCACACCATCTTTCACCACACCATCCTTCACACACCACTTTGTCACACACCATCTTTCACCACACCACCTTTCACACGCACAACTTTGTCACACATCATCTTTCACCACACCATCTTTCACACACCACTTCACTTTGTCACCCACCATCTTTCGCCACAGCATCTTTCACACACCACTTTGTCACACACCATCTTTCACCCCACCATCTTTCACACACCACTTCACATTGTCACACGCTCTCTTTCACACAACTTTGTCACACACACCATCTTTCCCATACAACTTTGTCACACACACAACTTTGTTTTTCTTCTCGGTCCTTCACCACCTCCTTTGTCTTTCCTTTCTTCCCCGTCCCTGCTACAACATTTGGTGCTCATTATTGGAAGACTTTGCCATGTGGGGTTTTCTGGCCCTTTAATTCTGTGCCCCGCAATGTTCCAGCATGGCTTAGACACAGAAAATCATTAGACAAAAACGAAACCGAAAGGCAATTGCTGACCAAGTGAGCTGCAAACACAACAATTTCTGAGCACTAAGTTTGATCATTCGACACCACCACAATCTGATTGAAAATGTTCACTTGCTTTGCATATGACACAATTCCAGAAGCCGCTTGTGCAAGCCAACGGCTGCATACAATACCCTTTGGCCATGCAATGTGCCATCTGCTTTTCCCACTTACGCGTCGCGTCTTTAGCCCTTGCCACATTTTTTGCCAGATTGCCCTTTCGTTGCCACGTGTTGCCAAGGGCTTTTGCTCGCAACAAATTTTGCCATTCAATTTGCCGCCCGTGCTTTTGCCCCCGCCACGTATTTGCCAGTGTTTTTTGCCACCGACGTTGCCATTACATTTGCCCCAGTCGGTTTTTTCCATCCATGTTGCCTTGCAGATTGCCACCGCCATTGCCATTGCTTTTGCCCTCAAGGTTGCCATCTTTGTTGCCATCAATTTTGGGGGCCTAATAGAGCATTGTTCTTGAATTTTAGATAATATATAATTATAATATATATATGTTGTGTCTTGTAAATGTTAGATGTTATCTTTAATGATAACGTTTTTTCTGATTATATCTAATGGATCTAGTGACAATGTGGAAAAATGTTCTAGATAGGACGGTTTGATGAAACTGTCATGAACTGACCAAAAATCATGTGGCTTGGTAGAGCCGCCAATTAGATGAACAGCCCAGCAGTATCCAAAACTCGGTTTGTTCATGATGATAAGGGATTATAATATATATATATATATGGACTATAATATACTATGATAAATTATGGATATATGGTCTATAGGTGATTGTTATAGTATTATAGTCCATATATACCAGTAGTACCGCACAAGGCGGTGGCGGAAGTTTCAAAAATAAGAAACCTATAGGAGAGGTTGGTTGTTGTGAATCAGGGATGGCAGAGCGAAGCCACTGCTGGATTGAAAGGTGCTTGATCTCTCTCACTCTTTTCTCTCTCTTTCTCTGACTATCTACCTACCTACCTATCTATTTTCTATGTATCTATCTATCTCTCTATCTATCTATCTATCTCTCCCTCTCTCTCTTTCATTTGATGACCCTATCTATCTATCTATCTATCTATCTATCTATCTATCTATCTATCTATCGATCTATCTATCGACCTATCTATCTATCTATCTCTCTCTCTATCTATCTCTCCGTCTATCTATCTATCTCTCTATGTATCTATCTAGCTCTCCATGTATCGATCTATGCATCTATCGATGTATCTATCTATCTATCTATCTATCTATGTATCTATCTCTCTATCTATCTCTCCGTCTATCTATCTACCTCTCTATGTATCTATCTAGCTCTCCATGTATCGATCTATGCATCTATCGATGTCTATCTATCTATCTATCTATCTATCTATCTATCTATCTATCTATCTATCTATCTATCTATCTATCTATCTATCTATCTATCTATCTATCTATCTATCTCTCCATCTATCGATCTATTGTTGTTGTTGTTGTAGTAGTAGTAGTAGTAGTAGTAGTTGTTGTTGTTGTTGCTGTTGCTGTTGCTGTTGCTGTTGTCGTCGAAGTTAGGGTAGTTGTGTTAGTGAAGGTACTTAAGTTGGTCAAGTTAGTTAAGTTAATCAGTGTCTACTTTTTCGACATCAGCACGTCAAAAAAGGCTCAAAACCCTCAGTTTTTTTACACTTTTGACTTCGAAATGTGCTTTGCGCCACAACGGCGTGCACTTTTTCGACACTTTTTTGACATCTGAACCTCCAAAAGTGGTCCGAGACCGCCAGTTTTTAACACTTTTGACTTCGAAATGTGCTTCGCGCCACAACGGCGTGCACTTTTTTGACATGTCAACTTCCAAAAGTGGTCCGAACCCCTAGTGTTTTTAACCTTTTGACTTGGAAATGTGCTTCGCGCCACAACGGCGTGCACTTTTTCAACATCTCAACTGCCAAAAGTGGTCCGGACCTGGTGTGTTTTGTACATTTTGACTTCAAAATGTGCTTCGCGCCACAACGGCGTGCACTTTTTCGACATCGCAACTTCCAAAAGTGGTCCGACCATGGTGTGTTTTGTACATTTTGACTTCAAAATGTGCTTCGCGCCACAACGGCGTGCAAATTTTCATCTCTCATCTGGCCAGCTGGCTCCGCACCCGCCGCTTTAGCGAGCCTACTTTTCGACCCTCCGGAGCCACAGATCATTGGAAAAACACAGTGTTTCGCGACTTTCCTACCTTTTCGCGCATCTGTGTCTTCTGTCCTCTTACTCTTTCTCTTCTGATCTTCTCTCTTCTAATCTTCCTCTTCTCTCTGCCTCTGCCCTGCTCTGCTTTTCATCTGTCCATATTGTCGGAAGTTTGACTTCTAAACTTCCTTCGATAAATATATATATATATATATAAGAAATTATTGATTATAATACATGATGATATCCCCACTTGGATTATACTACCCTTAGATACATTGGGGCATATCATAATATTCATAATCCATGTTTACTGGACGAATTCCGTTCTCAGCGCCAGGAATTCTCAAGGGACGAACTGGTGAACTAAATTCACAACAGAAGGTATACTCTCTGGTAAACTAACAGATTGCGAACTGGAAAACCACCATTTTGAATGGGTAAATCAACTATACATGGCCATTTTCAAGTTCGCAAACTGTAAACGTTACCAGGCCGGGTTGCCATTCGTTAATGTTGCAACTGATTCGTGAAAGTGGATGTGTGTAAAAATTGAGGAAATCCCATCCACTTTCACAAGTTCCAGTAAGACATGGCACATCATGGAACATCAGGGCACCGTTTCCTCCAACGTTCACCGTGAATTTTCCAGGTTCATCGTGTGCGCTACCTGGATTTCAACGTGGCCACCACCTTGGAGTCCTGTTCGCAGGACCGCGGGACGGAAGCGTGAGGCGAACTCAATGTGGGGCCCCCAAACGACAGCTAAGTTGGTTTATAACTCCAAAAACTATGGTTTATGATACGCAAATTGGGGCTTATAAACCAATAAACATAACTGGGGGCTCCACATTGTTGGTGATGAGGGGAATGGCGCAAATGAGTCAAATCAATTGTGGTATTATATCGTCCCACTTTGTCTTGCTGGTGTTTATATATATATATATATCCATTATAAATCTCATTTAACCTAGTTATGAACCAAATATATTTATTTTGGGCTCCGTCCTTGTAGATATGCTTAGGTATGCACCCCTGCTCTTCTCTCATGAGATTTCAGAAATTGCGGGCTTTACCTTGGTAGATTAGATGTTATCCCATAGTAGCTTGGCAGCCCTTGTCATTCTCGAACATTGATTATCTTCTAGCCATCTACCAATTCCAAATTCCCCGTTGATGGATGGTTTTCCTCTTAAATTTCTGGATTTTCCACTGTAGGGTTTTGTTTACCACAAGATGGAAAAGGTTCATATTTTTTCCAATGAACTACGAGGTGCGGCCCGAGTTTACGATAGCTAAGTTGGTCTAGCTCATTCAATAGATGAATGGTTTGTGGTATGATGATGTATAATGTATATGGGGTGAAACTTATCAAGCACAACTTGGGGGACATTACTGCCAGGGTGTGAAGCTTCGCAGGTTTGGCTGGCGCGATTCCGCTTACTGGAGTCCAACACGCAGAAGCATTTGGAACAGCGAGGCTACCAGGGTCACTCTATCAGTGGTGCTCACACCGAAAATAGCTGGGATTTACCATCTGGTTATTTAACATAGCTATGGAAAATCCATTATAAATGGAGGTTTATAGCTGGGAAAATCATCTGTAAAGTGGCAATTTTCCATAGCTATGTTAAATAACCAGAGGGTATATGGAATTATGATGTTCATCCCTGAAACATGGTTGTGACTCGACGTTTTCAATCCCTGAAACACCCGAAAGCCTCCTGGCGTCCAACGATTTTTTCCGAAGCCAAGGAATGCAAAGCATAGAGCTGGATATGTGGGATCTATAGCCGATCGTTACCTTGGCTTGCGAATCCCAGACATAGATAGATGGGGGGATTGTAGCCATACACTTTGATGGTTATTTCTGTGGGGTTTCTTGTAGTGAATGTTATGACAAACAATAATTTACCATGATCAAACACACATGATATATAATGTAATGTATATTTATATACTTATATATATATAAAATAATATATATATAATGTACCTATACCGATATAGACTCAATAATAAATAATTGTAGGTGTATAGACATAGCACAAAATAGCTAATACTATAGTAATATGATGTAGATATAGATATGATATAGATGCCTATTGCAGCTGGTCTATTTTGGTTCAACATTTTTTGTCTGTTTGGCCAGCCATGAGACTCGCACATTTGTTACTGGCACATGTCTCCTTCAACCTAGCGAATCACCTCAGTCTGAAGTCTGTGGCACCTTTCGCTTGGAAGGACGGGATGGCTACTGGTTGCATTTTTTCCGGCACGCACTCAGTTTATCAATGCACTCCGGAGTTCAGTGATGCTAAAGATATCTATACGCCGCCAGTTCTGAAATTTCGTGTGGATTGTCGAGGTGCAGGCGGGAACTTCCAAAACTTGACCCTGTTTGATTCCATGCATGTTTGTGGTCGACTTAGCTACAGGAAGTATGGGAACAGCTCGGGCACTGTGAGTCCGACAACCCGTTGGCTTCCGTTGGCTTTCGATTACATCGTGACAATGGAAAAGGAAGACATTTTGGACATCGAGTGTGTCCCCCATTACTTGAGGTTTCGTGTGCCACGTTCACGGCGGGAGGAAAAACATAAAACCCGGTATGATGATCATGTGGACTTTTACTTTTCGATGGATGGTCATGAGCTTCACCGAATCACTCCGATTTTCACAGAGCTGCTGCTCTATCCAAATTCGGACGCCAACTCTTGCGCTAAAACTTTGGGCACGGCCTATGACTGGAAGATGAATGTCACAAAGTCCATCAACTTTTCCCATTGGGTCAGCTACTCCAGTCCAGCATTGGCACCGCTTCCAGAGATCTTCCCAGAGGTTGATCTTGGCTATGAGCGAGGCGAGGTTTTCCATTTGGACAAGGATATGTTGCATTTGACTGTAAGGGAGGCCACCATTTTCTCAAAAAGACATGGACCTCAGAAGAGCACGTTGGTGAAGTGGTTGGTGAAGGTTGATCCGAATTTCTACGGCTCTACCAGCGGCTTGAACAGCTTTGCGGTGGACTTCAAACTGGAAGTGAATTCTGAAGGCTTTCCAAGAGATGCGGATGAAGTCAGGGTCAAGTTGGGACTCGAATTTCATACAAGGTTGCCGATTACGTTGTTGTTCAATTTGACGCTTCCTGTGAACACCGCGGGAATGCAAGATGATTCCAAATTCAGTAGTTCGGTAACAATTGCGTTGGTGTTGATTTTAATCTTCCTGGTTGCCAGCCTGGGCTACTTTAACTGGAAACAAAGGAGGACAATGCAGAGTGTTCAGCCCCGGGTTGGCTTGAGCGAGAATGCCATGTCAGTTGAGATGCGAGAAGCTGATTGTGCCTCGTGATGGGGAAAAAAGCAATGCCGGGACGGACGATCAATAAGGGTAGTAGGCTAGTAGGGGCTATAAAAGTCCCACCCCCGTGAAACTTTACAATAAATTATAATACTTACTTATATATATATGTATATAGATGTATACTTATCATATATCTTGATTATTGCGACTGATAAATGGAGGTACAATGTATCCCCCAAACAAATGTGTTCCCTTTGGCCGGAGATTCACATTTCTCCAGGTGGTGCTGCCCGTGGTGTGGTAGACGCATTGCAAGAGCACGTCTTCAACGAGGATCTCATGCACTACGGAGAACGTCGACAAAAGGTGGATCATGGGTACTATTTTATATATATATATATCATATATATATTGAACATAAAGCAGGGGGAGAGTTGATATATTGTTGATATCCAGTCTTCGATAGATTTCGTGAATTTTGTGTGAAACCATCGTGTGAAAAACCATCCTCAGCCACCCACTTTCCTGAGACAATCTCGCCTTGAGAGCCATTTTGATCATATTGCACCATTAATCATTAATCACCATTATAATGTATTCATCATTAATCACCATTATAATGTATTAATCATTAATCACCATTATAATTTATCCATCATTCATCACCATTATAAGTTATTCATCCTTAATCACCATTATAATTTATTATTCATTAATCATCATTATATTTGTTTTAATCATTAATCACCATTATAATTTATTATTCATTAATCACCATTTTTCCCATGATTAATCACCATTATATTTGTTTTCATCATTAATCACCATTATATTTTACTCATCATTCATCGCCATTATAATTTATTCATCATTAATCACCATTATAATTTATTAATCATTAATCACCATTACAATCTATTTATCATTAATCATCGTTACAATTTATTCATTATTAATCACCATTAATATATCATATAGTCACCATTATAATTGCCATTTATGACCATTGAATCAGGCGATCACCGTGAATCGGAAGTTGAAGTTGATGCAAGGGACGCTGGCGCGGGGCCCAGCCAGAACAACTTGCGGGGCTCCTGCAATCTGCGGCCCAAAAAAGATCAAGAAGTCGGTCTATTTGCCTATGTTCTCTAGGATTTTTGATGACACACACACACATATATATATATATATGTATGTATATACATCATGGATATGTCCATAGTTAACCTATATTTGTTTGGGGCAACGAACAGAGCTCCTGCCAAATAGATCCAAATAGGGGGTTGGAAGATTACTTTTGACAAAAAACATTGTGATTCTCAAGGGCTATGTTAGTTTGAGGGATGGTACATCTGGGAATTGCTGACAGATTGGTGATAAATCGTCATTTGTTCCTCAGTTAGATATGGGATGCCCAGACAGATGCCGTGTATCTAGTAGAGTAGATCCCAATAGACCCCACTAAAATTCCACTTTAACAATTTGGTCATTGGTTCAATAATGTGGGTGAAACCTAAAGATGGGTGGCCTTCAATGTGGCCCAAAAACAATGCAAACACGTGTGCAATACGTAGAAACATGTACGCTGCAACCCTGACGTTGCTCCGCGCCGGAATTGTCGAAGGGCTGCGTATTTTTGAATTGCCATGTCGGTGGACTTTCGATATGTAGATGTATATGTGATCCATGATGATGATGATGATGATGATGACTGTAAGTGTGGAGCAACGTCTGGGTTGAACAGAATATGTAATATGTGAATATGTGAAACATATGATAGAATGTTCACATGTCTTCACATATTTCTACACGCATGTAGATAATTATTACATGAGTAGGAGAGGGATGTGCAGAGTCAGCTGAATCAGCTGCAGAAACAGTACCATGATGCATAGGTGACAAGGCGAGCAGGGCACGGCCCACTTCCCTATCAAGCTGTACCAACCAACCGCTAGGACCACTGGTGTTTATACCCTTGGTTATTTAACATAGCTATGGAACATAGCCCATGTAATTATATAGATGGTTTATGACGATGTTGATATACTAGCAAAAAAGGTGATTTTCAATAGCTACTTTTCTTTTCCAACGGCCAAGGGTATAAATCTTTCAACTTTTCGGAACGCCTAGTGGGGCAATGTGCACGAAATTTGCCAAAAGACCCACCTTTGCGCCGCTCAGATGCACGACTTCTCCACCGTTTGTCCGCACAAGCTGGGTCGCATGCCACATCCCATTGCCCGGGCTCCGAGGACTCGGTGCCTCAAAGTGGTGAACTAGTTCACGGGTCAACCATAGATCACACCACCAAAAAGAACCAAATATAATATTATATAGTTATAAACCAAAATAACAATTTGATACATATTTATAGTCACCATAAACCCCATTAATAGTTCCTCTGATTTAAAGCATTCAGAACACCGAGGTCAACGTCCCCCCGAAGTCCTGGAAGTCGCCCGCCATTCCGAAACAAAGCTCTGCGCCGGTGCCGCGGTCGAAGCGTCGGGGGCCGTCGCCGTGGGAAGCTGCTAAGTCGATCGACAGAGTGAAGCTAAGTTAGGCATAACTATGCAAAAATATGGCGGTTTCATGGCATTTAGTTGGAGTTTGATTGGAAACGCATGGGGATTTAGTTGGCAGTGAAAAAAAACTGATTCGTTTCTAGGGTTTCATTGGATGATTGTGATGATTGGAATGTTTTAATGATGGAATTTCATATGGGATTTAGTTGGCTAAGTTGGTGAACATAGCTGACATAGTTCCAATAACCAGTGTTTACGGTTTATGGTAGATATATCAGGTATAGATATATCATTATATCCATAGTTAGCCGATGTTGAACGGGTCTGTAGCCCAACTGATTAACGGGGGTCACCACCTTGTATGGTGGCTATCTGGATGGATTGCGGTAGCCGAATAGATTTTGTTGTCATGCAAAAGGATGGGCTTATCACATACCACAACTGGTTGGTGGTTTGGAACATGTTTTATTTTCCCATGTATTGGGAATAATCATCCCAACTGACTTTCATATTTTTCAGAGGGGTAGGTATACCACCAACCAGACAAAGACTTTAGATTTTTTGGAGAGGATCAATAAACCACCAATCAAATTGACCAAAAAAAATTGAACCATGCTAATCACTGGAGGTCTATTTTTTTTCAGCCGTCAACAGCTTGGAACCGGGCTCTATTTATGTGTTAATCCTGACTGAAATACTTGCGAATGCTAGCAACACATCTCCACCATTGATACTGGTCTGAGTGAACCAATCCCTCAGGCCCATAAATCTGGACACCAGCAGTGAAAGATGCTGGAGATGCCAAGTACAGTAAATGTCACCGCCCGCGAGGGAACAATCCAAATCAAATCTGCATGCTGGGGTTACCGAACAAATGACACATTCCTCGCTCTTTCGTACTATTCCGATATTGCTTATTTTGAGAATCTTTGAGATACTTTGATAATGCTTGTTTGGAATAGTAAAGTACTCAAAGTATCTATATACTGTTTTATTTTTGTTCTTATTATTTTGCCTATTGTTTTTTTGGGGAGCTCCTGCAAATTAGGCAAAGTTTGATTCTGGCGATAGTCTGGCAATCAGTCTTGGACGCCGATAGCTGGGATCGGCAGATTTGAAGCAGTAGAATTCAAGCCATGCAAGTTTTCCAGGGAAACCTTGGGTGGATCATTTAGTACTGTTTTGTGTGATGAATATCATATCTATAGACAGGGGATACTAACCAGTTTCTTTTTGTTGCAGGATATCTAAGATTGGCCATGAATTTGTTCTATAGTTATACACTCCTATTCCCACTCTTGGTTTAATGTAAGGAAGTCCTGGTCGCTTCGTCCCGCTACATTGGTTGATGAAATCCCATCGTTGCTGGATATGTTCTGTTCATTGTTGAATTTGCTTGCCCTCTGGGCCTTTGGTAGTTTAGTTTAGTGGTTTAGTGTGCCGACGCAACATTTATCGAACAATCTGTTGGCTGGCCTTCCTTACTGAACACGGGGGTTTCCACAAGCAGGTCTGTTGACAACAAAGCAAAAGTGCAAGGGGTTACTTGGTGAGTAAGTTGTTTTTAACACGGATACAACTGGATTAATTCTACTCTTACTTGCTTAGTGGGGGTAATGTAATGTTATACAATGTTATACACCATTATCAACCAATTTCTTGAAGTGGGCTGAAGCACCAAACACCAAAGTGGGTTACTGTATATTACTGTAAAAAACTATGCTACTGCTAAAGCATCAGCTGAAGCTTCGTGTGAGGCGGGTCTCCTCACAGCATTGGAGCGAAGCAAACTGAAGGCCACCTCACTGCGGCAGGGCATGGTGGATCTGCAAGGTGAAGGAACATACTGTGGATGGTTGCGAAATCCTGCACCAGCTATATATAATAGATGGTTTATCCCATGATTTATAGGGTTTCATCCAAGCTGGTGCAGGATTTCGCAACCATCCACAGTAGATGTAGGACCAGCAATGTGATCCCCCCACAAAATTTGGGTGCTGGGGTAGAAACTCTTGGGCATTGCAATTTTTTGACATGTACTTCCCAATGATTCTGATTGTTTCTGACCCCATGTCATGCTGGGACTAGGTTTGTTGGCCCCCCATCTCAAAGAGAACCATGAGCTTGAGCTCAATTTTCTGACGGTGCCAAAGGTGGCAAGGTGCACATTGTCATTGTTTCCTGATTCTGTGATGTTCTATATTTATTCAAACAAGGAAAAGATAGGAAAGATGATCAAAGGTACGCTTCTTTCGCTTGGATGCCCATCCCAGTTAGTCAATGTTAGTGACTAGTTCCTAACCCATGTGTATATATATATACATATATACATATACACCTGGAGCTTCCATTGTTACAGAAAAAAGTGCTCCAAGCCCATTCGTAGCACAAAATCACATGGCTATCAAAACGTCCTCTTTTTGAGGGTTCGTCCATTTTTTGAATTTGAATGATGTTGAACCATCCTGTGGCCATTTGGCTACTCCACCTGAGTGCCACAACGTGCCAGCTCTGGGGATGAGCAGGCGGCAGCTCTTTTTGAGATGTGAGTGTGCTCATGTGCACGCATTGGCAACCACAGGTTGGTAGATGCTGTAGATATACCTGGCATGGGCTGGTTTAAATGCAGGCCTGTCCTCATGGGTCTCTCGAAGTTTTTGGTCCTATAAGGCAAGGCACCCTTTGTTTTATTGAATATCATCGGCATATTTCTTGGATATAGTGGCTCCCCTTTCCATCAACCCAGTGTTGGGAGGCTACTACATTCAGTCTTGGATCAACGCTTGGTGGCAAACCTGGCTGATTTGATCACAGAAATTTGATCAGAACACACTTGAAAGCGCTCATTACTTTGCAGCTCAAAATTTTCAGCAAATGTTCATGCAGCGCTTTTTGTAGCTCAACGATCCGTAGCCAGCGTGAGGCAGCTAGTATGGGAGAGAGCGATACACCTTTCCACAAGGGGTTTTCCTTCAAGTCCCCAGTTGCCCGTGAGTGGAGTTCGATTGACTACTTGGCAGCCGGTGCCGCCAAAGGCTTTCTTGTGGTTTACTCGACACAGGAGAAGGAAAAGACCTGTATCAAAAGGAGGGATGTTGTGAACAATGCAGTCATCTTGGGCCCACTGATAGCTGAAGTTGGTTACTTGTTCGCACACAATCAACATCATATTCTTGAATATCCTGGCTATCTGAAAGACAAGATTTTTTATTTTCAGCCAGGGCTTTCATGCATGCTGGAGGTTTGCGACCAACCATCGGCATCATCCAAGAGCATGTCGACGAATTCTTCTGGGCAAACCGCCCTCGCCACAAGCCACCGATTGAAAGTCCTCAGCTTAGCCTGCCAGATTTAGTCTGGCATAGTTGGCTTACGTTTTTGGTGATGAGAGATTGTTTTTATAGATTTGTTGGGCGTGATACCCCATTGCCCCCCGTATTTCAATGCTAATTCTCTCATCGACAAAGCCAATACCCACATTTCTTGCCCAGGTCACGTGGTCAGGATGCACACGTGGGCATTGAGGAACTTGATCACAGAATTCGGGAGAGCGGCCAGAAGGCCACACGTGCCTCGTGAGGCAGCGATGCGTGATTTGTATGTGAGATCGGGGATCGATTTGCCGGAAGGTGGGGGGCTCAGGACAGGATGCAACCTTTTTAGAATCAACATTCTTTTTTCGAAATGTTTTACAAAGAGAATATATTTTGCAAATCAGGTGAGCCAACACCTGCTCCAGAGACTGTAGAAGATCAAGAAGGGTGTGAGGGCGAAGGTGAAGAAGAAGAAGTCTTAGAGGAGGATATGTGTGTGGATGAGGCCTGATCCCAAGTGGCCACCACAAAGTGTCCAACCAGTATCAACTTCAAATTTTCACTCTTGTTGGTCTGTAGGCCCCTGTACCAGCCACGCCCAAGACGCCGATGGACCGACCTACTTGCCCAGAAGGCTACACCCTCAGCATTTCTCACCTTTTCGGCAATTTCGAAATCTTATCATCCCTTGACTATCTAATCCCATCCGCCTATAACATTAAACCTTCGCTAACTGGTCCCAAATATGTGGAACTTGTTTATTAAACTGATGTTTCTTTTAACATCAGGGGATGGGGTTATTTGTTGTTTTCCCTGAGGTTCTTCATCATCCCGAGGAGATACGACAGTCCCACGTCCAGGCCACCATTGGCATTCTAGAATTCTAGAATGAACTTTACAGCCCATCGGCTTCAGGCGACCTGGTGAAGACCCCTGTGGCGAGCCCAGCTGTGGAGCCTTGCGGGAAGAGACACATCCACCCAATGATCAGGAAGACTGATGTCGGTTTCGAGTGCATCGTTTGTTCGGTTACAGCTCCTGACTTGGAAGTTTTGAAAGCAGTGTCTTGCAAAGATACGTCTGGAACAATGAGTGAAACAGAGCTGTCTGAGCGAGAGCTTGCTTTGAAACGTGACCAGTTGAAAAAACTGCAGCAGCTCCAAGACCTTCAGAAACAACTAGCTAGCTTGGAGCAACTTCGCAAGCTGCAGCGCTCGGAGACACCAGCTCCTGCCTCGTCGAGACCACCACAGCCCCCAACGGCTTGCCGTGGCCTCAGTCAACGTTAGGGTTTGCGAATTATTTGCCATGACCCAGGTAAAACTTTTACCAATTTGCCAATTTCTGCCTGGATCACCAAAAGTTTTTTAACCGATTAGGTCCAGATGTGTTGGACACTCTCCCCATGGATGCTGGCGCAGTCGAAGCGGCCACATATTCGGCCATGGTTGCAGAGGATTGGTTCCAAAACCCTTTAAAGTTTAGTTTGCAAAAATCTTGCAACAGCAAACAAAATTTGTTTTCTTTACTTTATCTTCTGACTTTACTCGTATCTATCTCTATCTTCAGTCTTCACAACCTTTCCCCTTTCAGCCGCAGGACTCTCTCAGACAAGCTCACCAAGAACACATGACGGTTTCAGGTGGGCACCCACCAGTCTCTGGGAGCACAGAAGAGATGTTGAGACAAAAGACTTTGAGACTAGGAGAAGAAGTGCCAGAAGATAAAGAGAAGGAGGTAGAACAAGCCAAAGATAAGGAAGAGTCAGGTTTGAAGAAGGAGGCAGAGGCAGAGGATCCAGGGAGAAAGGAGGAAGAAGGTTCCACCAAAAAGGATGAGACCCCGTTGGCTGAAGAGCCGACGCTGGAGGAGCCACCCCAGAAGAAGGCAGAAGAGACCCAGGACAAAGGTGAATCAGGTTTGGAGAAGAAGGTGGAGGAAGAGGATCCAAGGAGAAAGGACCAAGAAGGTACCACGAAAGAAGGTGAAGCTTCGAAGGCAGAAAAGACCCAGGACAAAGAAGAATCAGGTTTGGAGAAGGCAAAGGCAAAGGATCCAGGAAGAAAGGAGGAAGAAGGTGTCACCAAAAAGGATGAGACCCCGTTGGTCGAAGAGCCAAAGGAGAAGGAGGCAGAACAGGCCAAAGATCAGGAAGAGTCAGGTTTGAAGAAGGAGGCAAAGGCAGAGGATCCCAGGAGAAAGGAGGAAGAAGGTTCCACCAAAAAGGATGAGACGCTGTTGGTTGAAGAGCCGACAGTGGAGGACCCACCCCAGAAGAAGGCAGAAGAGACCCAGCACAAAGGTGAATCAGGTTTGGAGAAGAAGGCAAAGGTGGAGAATAAGAGACTGAGTGCTTTGAAGGTTGAGAAGCCCAAAGCTTTGCAGCAACACAAGTCGATTGCACCCCATGAGCAGCCAAAGGCGCAGAAACCCCAAAAGAAAAAAAGGAGTGATGAGGAAGAACAGGAGGATGACAAGGAGGACGATAAGGATGCTGAGGAGGATGCTGAGGAGAACGAGGGCAATGAAGATGAATCAAGTGAACCTGGTGACAAAAAGCCGGCCCCCAAGGGGCGTCCGAAGGCAAAGGCGAAGGCGAAGGCTAAGAGCAGCAGCAGCAGAGGTCGCAGCAAGACAAAGAAGAGCAAGGAGAATGAAAAGAAGAAGGAAGGTGAGGGTGGGGAGAAACCGGCACGAAAACCCAGAACCTCCAAGGCTGTGGAGAACCCGCGAAAGAGGAAGGCAAATACCGAAGACAACAAAGACAAGAAGAACAAGAAAGGTGAGGCAGAGGTCAAGAGCAAAAACCAGAGGAAGGCAAAGAAAGGCAGTGAGGTTGAGGCCAGCAAGCCTCAGCAGCAGCAGGAGTCAGAGAAATCACCAGACAAGAAGGGAGAAAATGAAGGCACTGGAGATGAGCAAGAGCAGAACAAGAAGAAGAAGAGAGAGCTGAGTCCAGGAACCCTGGAGAAGAGGCAGAGGAGGTCCAAACAGTGCTGCGCCTACAAAAAGGCCTACAACTTGGCAGTAGCTGCTGGAAAGTCCAAGGATGAAGCCAGGGTAGATGCTCGCCTTGCTACTTGCACAAATACTGGGGGGCTGTTGAAGATGTTGCTTTAAAACCAAACACTTATGGTATAGTATCAAAATACATTCCTGGCTTCACCGGAAAAAATAAGCACACCAGAAAATCATATATTTGAGGTGCAAGTATTTTTGATGCTGAAACAATCGGTCTTGGTATGGTAGATCCCTTTCTTGGACCCACTTCTGTCAAGTTCTTTAAGCCTTTAAGCTCAGGCTTATGCCACCTACGCTTCTGAGAGCTGACTTGGGTTTGTGACATTCTGATCATTGTGATCGTGAATGGCATATAGGGTTTTTGTTGCTGCAAGTGAAACCTTGCAGGGGGGAGCGGCTTAAGCTTCGTGCGTGCCCTCAGTCTTTGTTTGAACTTTGTGACGACCGAACCATACTTGTCCCAATGTTGGCTGACTATACGGTATGGTACCGAACTTATCCTTGCCATCTGGCAGGGCTGTGGCATCACCGAAACGATCGAGAGAGAAAAGTAGAGTCGCAACATTTAAAGCGTTTTCTGCAATCAAACTGGCTTTTCCTAGCTCACCACCAGCTGGAGCTGTGGGCCAGGCGTTGGGACCCATGGATGGTGAGAAGCGGGTGTCCAACCTGGAAAGCCCGGGCCGTTAGAACAGGTGCACTGAACCCCTGCCTGCTGCTTGCGCCAATGCGAAATTTTGATCAAACAATTTCAGACTTCAGCTCACACTTCCCCATTGCAGAAGGCATTTTGGATCAAAACTCGACATCACCCCTGTACAGAAAGCCTATAAATGGCTGGGTCGACCACCTTCAATTTAATGGAGATTGGCGCTCCAAAAACGTTTGTTGCAGTAGCCTGAATCCCAGCTATCGATGACCCATCATATGAGACTTAAAGTTTATTATATGAATCCCATTCCATGTGCACTTGAGGTTTTGCTGATCGGATGGTGCAACTTTGCATCTCCTGGTGTGCCACCTGGACGGCTGGATTTCTTTGAAATCTTTAGTGGCGCTTCTGCTACAACACAAGTTTGGTCGATCGCTCAGTCATCTGGGTGGCCAAAATTAAATGGAAAAAAACGACTTGAGCATGTCTCAGTTTTGTCCAAGACTGATTTGGTAATATGATAAATAGTTTTCGGGGTTCCCTGGAATTTGGAGCCATTCCCCAGCCACCGATGTTAACCTAACCTCGGCCGCACTGCCAGCCTGAGGCACCAGCATGGGTTTCAAACCGCTGCTTTTGACCGGGACTTCAGCCCTCAGACGAAGGTGATGGATTTCATGGAAAACTCTGGCCTAGTGAAGCAAGACCTAAATATGACTGAACCTATTTTTACTGATTTCTATTTGTTTTCATGGCGTCCGCAGGGGGGGGCATTTTATGCAACTAAGGATAGTATTGAACACGATTCTTCATGAGCGGGAGAATGCAGTCAACCTCATGGCACCTGATTGTGGGAGTTGGGGAGTCCCATCAAGAGGTACTAGCGGAAGAACATTTTTTAACTATCTTGGAAATCTGGAATATGGCTTCGTGACAAACGGCAATTCCATGATAAGCCGGAACTTTGATTTGCAAACAGTAATGTTTTTTTACCAGGTTTTTTTGGCAGTATCTTCGTCTGACAAAAGGGATTTTGAGTCTTTAACTCGGGGACATGAGATGCCATGAGGTTAATCCTGGTCTGCCTCCTCGTTTTGGCCAAAAGGGCCATATTCCTGTTGGAGAACCCGAGTTCTTCGTTGGTATTCAGGCACCATCGATTTGAATGGCTGTGCAATTGTGTTGCTACTGCCCCTGGACTGCAACATTGTTTGAATTATTGTTATATAGGCACCCCTGTCTAGTGTTTTCAATGTATCCACATGTATCCACATGTATCCACATGTATCCACATGTATCCACATGTATCCACCTGTATCCACCTGTATCCACATGTATCCACATGCATCCACATGTATCCACATGTATCCACATGTATCCACATTCCCCTTGTGCCCTGCTCTCTTGTGACCGGCCCAGGTTTACCGACAGTCGTTTTGGCTTGGACTTCTGGGAGGCTCATCACCGAAGCGGCTTATCCTTTGGAGCAATTCTAGCATGGTTGGAGCTTTGAACTTGGGCAAAATGATACGCTCCCATCCAGCATGGAACAATGAAAACAAAACAACTTGCCCCTTGGTTTATGAGCTTTTTGGGTTCAAGCAGCGCATGGTAACCACATCTATTTTCAAGGGATCCCCACATAATGATCGGACCCAATATTAAACCATTCTTTCTACAGGCTTTTTATTGCGGGGTATATGTAGATCATCTTGTCAAAAAATCTCAGGTCGTTATGTGAACAAGGCCGGTACTACCAAATTCAAAGGCAATGACAATCTCAAGCGCTCCCAGTATTTTGGCAGCAACCTGATAAGTTTCAAAATATGAAAGGGGCCCCACAAAGAAAGGCACTTTTTACTATTTACTATATTCGCATTTGGAGTTGTATTTGTATATCATATGCTTGATGGTTCCCTGTAGGCAGTATCCTCCACGCTTGGGAAAGGCATTGATTGATGGTTACATGCAAGCTTGCGCCCACCCATTTCGTAGAGATCTTCGAAAGAAGTATGACTTGGACGCTGGGAAATCTGACCGGGAGCTCTTCCACGACTACCCCCTCACTGATGACCAATGGTGGGAATCCGGTATTCAAAATGTTTTCTTTTATTTGTATGGTTGCAAATCGCTTCAGATTCCAGACTCCTGGCTCCCAACTATGAACATGTTCAAGTGGCAGCTCACACGCCTCATTGTTCCTAGGATGCAACTTTCCATTGATAATTTCTTATATTTGGGTTTGGTTGTCTTTCCTTGTCCACAACTATGTCATCAAACATCCATCCACTTCCACCCCAACTGGTTGGGGTCTTGCACTTGAGGAAGAACGTGCCCAGAAGAAAGACCTGAGCTGAGCGGGCTCAACGCGCAGAATTTGGACCACGAAACGCCCGCAAAAACCCACAAAACGACCGCAAATTTCCACAAACGAGCGCAAAAAAAAAAAGAGTAGCAAATGCATTTTTTTGAAACCTTGGCATTTGGGATCTTTACCCCAAAAAAGATGGCTTCGGGTTTCAACCACCTTTCACACTAGCGCATACAGTCAGATTATGTGCCCACTTGCTGCATCAGCTTTGTGTGCATGAAAGGGTCATGTTTTGTGAGAAATTCCAGGGAAACTTGGGATAAATGAGATGAACCATAACAGTACTTTGATCATCCATGAAAGCTCTGTCAATTTCTAATTTGCTGTCTCCTATCTCAAGCTATAGGGATATCATATGGGTTGCTCTGTACATGGCACTTCGACAGTGGAGTTGTTCTTCTGTTGACAAGGGTATGGCTTTGGTGACGTCCCAGAACGTTGGCAACCCTGGTCGCCCTGTCCCCTTGGACATCGAAGCTATGATCCGTGCTCTTTGTCAGCAACAAAGCAATCACATACAAGTACCATCTACCTCCTTTCAGGGTCCCTGTCGTCAAATACTGTAAATACCTGTTGAATTGATCCCTAACCAGGAAAGATTTTTCAGCTTCGAAGTTTGGAGATGTTGAGTGGCTAGTTTCTCTTTTCCCTTTCCATTGCTCCTCCCAGGACACCAATGCAAAGATCCAGGCCTTGACCCAGGAAATGATGGAACCGTCCAGACCTTTGGAGGGCTTGAAGGACGAGGAAGTTGTTGAACCAGGTATGGGCTGTATCCCAAAATATTTTTTACCCACCAGGAACCAGATATGTTAAGTTTGGTTACCTATATATACAGAACTTCACATTAAACAAGTGGGAGTTTGGGTCAGTACAAAGTAGAAAAGGGTCATTTAGTGAATGTCACTGGGGCCCCGTCATTGGGATACATTTAGTACCCAAAACCAATTTGATAAATCATTCCATTTTGGTGGCAGGCTCGTTGGTCCTTTCAGAACGTGATGGTGAATTTGTGGCTGGGAAGAAGGAGGTCTCTTTGGCCCACTGTCATCCTCCCCCCTTTCGAGGTCTTGTTCGTGATGAGTCCAGTCGAACTCTATGTGAGCCCCCTTTGAGTGTGAAGTCTGCGTCAACCCAAATGGACCCGAGTCCATTTCCAACACACTCAGAACGCCCTGACTTGTATGAGGATGCCCAGCCCTGGGGGAGACCAGGTTATACCCCACCAGGCACTCCTGCCGAAGTTTCCCCCAAAGCTCTTTTCAAGGGTGACAGCGCTATCTTCTCAGACATGGAGATAGACAAGAGCCCAGGTGAGCGCGTGGCCCCAGAGAGTTTGGCCCCAGAGATGCCAGACCCCTCTGCCACCATGCGATACAAACGGTCACCTCCTAGTGAATCGGATGGACCACCTTTGAAGAAGTCCAAATCTGTTGGCTATGACAAGTACTACCATCAGCACTTTGGCCCAAAACACATAGTACAACGTGTCCCTTAGATATTATACCAGTACCAAAGTAGCCGCCCCCAATAGGAATTGATTATTGGGTATACTCTATTTGTGATGGTGTAAAACAATTCCCACATGGATGATAATTGGAAAATGTAATTTCTACTGGGTTTTGCCAGGACTATCTATCCCCATTACATTTTTCCAACCAGTCCCACAAGTCTTTCACCTGACTGCCCATCAGCCGCTTTAAGGGTGTGGCGCTATGTGCAACCCAAAGGCAAGAACAAGGAGATCCTGGCATCACCGGAGGTGATGACGATGTGGAAGTCACCGGAGGGCAGTGGTTGGGCAGGTTTGCAGTACAAGATTCAAACAGTGTTGAACTCCCCTTGAAGCCACCAAATAAATCATCATCTTTCATGCTTAACTTCTATATGGCTATGTCAAGGCCTTTTGGCATTCCGATTCTATAGGCGTTTTGGTTTTATCAGGTTTTGTCAACCCACCTAAAGAATATTGTTTTTGGAGCCCACAACATCGGCCGCTAAGGGGAGAAATTGAAGGACCTTCTGAAGACCCATGGGTCTTTCGAGGCTGTGGAATGTGAAATCAAAAAATGGCAACGGGTGTCCATGAAGAAGACCAAGCAGGGCCAATGGGTTACCAAGCAGGTTCTCATGGGAACTCACAATTGGTCCAAGCAACAGCCTCAGTTTAAATTTTGTTTTTGCCATGCCTGAACATATTTTCCAATATATGGGTGAAAGAAGTATAACTTGGAAATACTTAGGCAAATGGTGGATCGTGCGTGGGACTGGGCACGCTCTCGTAAATTGTGGCGAAAAAACCCTATCCACCAAGAAGAAGAAGTATGCCTGGTCTTGGACGATGGATTCGCTTACTCTGATGAGCATGGGTTTGAAACCAACCAACGGGCGACTATGGAAGTTCAGGACTATTTTTCTATATATGAATCCCCTGGACCTTTGTTGTAATTGGTGTCAAGCAATACGTTTGTAAGGGCCCAATGATATAGTGGCTTGAAACAAATTCCAATTCTTATACCTCTTGATTTTTGAATTGGTGGTTTAAAGTTTAAAGCGCAACCCTTCGCCGGACCAGACCTCCAACAAATCCTGGCCTGGCTGCAGGATCCAACTGGTTCCATGTTTGACTCGGACGTTGTGCCTGAGTCCCACTCGCGACTTGTGCCGGAGACAGAGGGATCGGAGAAAGACCAAGAAGATGCGCTTAAGGGAGGTTCGTCTTCCTTCAAGTTGCTAGATCCAAACTATTACCATTTCATATCATCGGCGGGGTGGGAGTTATAAGTTATAAGCTATAGGATAGGGATCCCGAAAGATTCTATGCTGATATGTCTAAACCTTTTTTCAGAATCTTAATGCTTGCCCCCCAATTTTGAGATAGGCCCCTATTCTTTATTTGTTATGCATCTACCATAAAACGTATATACATCATATAAATCTATAAGATGCAAGGATCGATATACCCCTGGGAGATCTTTGACAACAAAACTGAGGTTGATCTTTCCGTCGGTGCAGGAAAATGCATCAGCTTTGTCGGTTCTTCCAAGTTTCCTTGAAACCTTGGGACTGAAGATCGAGAAAGGTGAGTTGGAGAAGGAACCCATTGCATATTGTATAGCGCATTGGTTTGACTGATTTGACAAGGAAATTTTGTTGTTAGATTAAACAAATGTCCATTTCAGGAGAAGCTTAAAGGCCGTGGCTTCGAACGGGCCACCCAGTTTCTAGGTCGCACCTGTGCTCAACATTCTACATGATTCCAACCCTTGACTGATTATTGTAGAATCAATCCTCGGCCCAGGATGGCTGATCAGATTGGGGTCACCTTGGGAGAAATGCAGAAGAACTATGATGAGCTTTGCAGCTTCCAAGCGGAAGCTATGGTTGGCAAGCCGCACCCTCAAATACCTGATTGAAGTTTAAAAAATGACAACTGTTTTCCAATATTTGCTAGGATAGATCCGGCCTAGGTGCAACTTGGCCGAGCTCAAGAAGAAAACGGTTGAGGTTACCAAGCGAGATGTCAGCTTGAACAACATGCTCACACGAGCCAAGCCCAACCTGCATGTTTATTCCACTAAATAGTTTGGACCATCCTTTGGCCTTGCCCGATGCCAGGAATGTGAAGCCGACTGTCCCAGTTCCTGGTGCCAGGGTCCCTGGCCAACGTGCTCCGCCAGTGTTGCCCCCAGCTGCCAAACCGAAGGCCAAGCCTCGTGCAAAGGCGGCAGGAAAGGCAAAGTCAAAGGCAGGTGCCAAAGCGAAGGCCAAGGTGGCCAAGGTAGAGACCTGAATGGTTTTTGGAATATAGCTTGGATCGAAATTTGACTTGCTTTAGCTAAAATGCTGGAGCTTCCAATTCCAATTCAGCATTGTGGGGGAACATAGTGCTGTGATGCGATCTTACTAGATAGATTCCATCTGCGCGGTCACAAAAAAAACTGGTCATTAGCAGACTCAACATTTTTTGATTGGCAAAAGAACATTGGCAGTCACAATTTGCCTGGTCGCCCACTTTCCCACCCCCTCGCAGGTGCATGGTGTTTCGCTAGGCCACCGTGCGGTCAAGGTTGGGGGCTTATCGTTGAAAAACCCAAGTGACCTGCAGGCCAAAAGTCACAGGGAAGTTTTGGATGTCATGTGTTGGGTTTCTTTTTCAATGGTTCCTGATAATGGCCCCTTCTTTTGTGGAGGATCACCTTCGCCTACGCCTACGCCTACGCCAGCTGCTTCAAGCGACTCTAGCTCCGATGGGACTCAATCGGATTTAGCCGATGAGTTGATGCAAGGGTTTGAGAATGGAGTAGTTCGGAAGCACTAGCTCGTGATCAAATCATATGTATGTAAGTAATTGAACTGGCGTACTTCTTATATATATGCGATGTTCAAGGCAGAATCTGCCCGTCGAGTTGTTCGGCTGGCACGGGTTACTTCAAAGCGAATGGCAAAACTTGGACTCTCTAATGCACTAAGCATGTTATGTTGTGGGCATATATAGAAAAGGACCATTTAATTTTGTCGAACCTTTTCATATCAGGAGTTCGGGATCCCTATTTGGAGGACATTGGCAAAGCTGGAAGAACATCATCCAGGAAATTCCGAAATGTTTCCAGGAACTTTCACAAATGGATTGAGAGGGAAAGGAAAACCTTGCCAGTGCATGTATCTTCTGTTCTACTTCGGGTAAAAGAGCAACGCCCGAAAGTGAAGCTAGTGCACAAAAATTTCCCAATGATCGGGCTTTCTTCTTGGGCCAAGTACCTCTTGACAAACTCACCAGGGACTGTGCTCGGGGGACATTCCTTGCAATCGCCTGCCTACAAGGAAATGCTCCGAATGTTTTGGCATAGGTACTTTGAATTGGACCGGAGCCACCCAGTCTTCGAACATTTTGAACAAGGACAATGGGAGAACCTTGTGCCTTACTGCGTTCATGGAGATGAGGGCAGGGGGAAAGCCAAAACTCCGGTGCTGGTGACTTCTTACCAGATGGTCATACCCCCCACAGGCTTGGAAGCAACAAACATAGCTGGGTACCTTAGCTCAACCTGGTCACAACATCCCAGGATACAGTCTTGTATTATTTTAAGCTACTCTTCAGGAGTTTATACATGAGCTCCGATCCAGGCACTCGTTTACTACGCGGCTCTTGGCAGCTATCATGCCATCAAAGTTGATGGCTTCAAAAAACCGAACCATGGATGACATGAACCGCTTCATCGCAGATGATCTTCGGAGTTGTTTCTTCGATGGGATTCAGGCCACCAAGTTTTATTCGATAAACACCCGTTCTTCAATAAAGCACCCTTGTTGCCCCCATCGGGTACCTGCCTCACAATGGAACCTTTCAGGCGAAGGGCGAGAAGTTCCACTTCATCTACCTGGGCGCGAAAGGGGATTGGCCATGGCTGCGAAAACTCATGAACTTGAAATCTGGATTTCGATCACTAAGAATTTGTCACCTTTGTGACAAGGATGTGCTCTGACTTTTCTGATTCAGTTTCTTTCTCAACTTGCGCAACTTACTGTGTGAGATGTGGATAGCACAATGATCCCTATATGTGTAGGTCAATTTTTTTATTACTGAGGATTGGTGGCTGTTTGGCCAAGAAAACACTTGCCTCAAGACCTGGAACCTGGCTGAGACACCACACCCCTGGAAGGAAGAGAGATCTCCCATGCGAGACATCCCAGGGGCAGAGTGCCCTTCACGGATTCGTATAGATCTAGCACACACTTGGCCAATTGGGGTTGGAAAAGATTTTTGTGCAAGTTCCATCATTTTGTTGGCAAGACTTGGTTTTTTTGGAGCTGCCGCCATGCCGAAAAAATTGGAGTTGGCTTACCAGCATTTTCGTGAATGGTGCTACTACGCGAAAGAGCATACGCAGCTGAAAGACTTTTCTTATGGCTCTCTGAAAGTGACATCGTTCCTAGTCTCCAGTGTGCTTGTGTGATTTTGCAACTGTAGCTTCTACTCCTGTAGGATCTCATATGCCGAATCCTGCCATTCAGGTTGCAACAGTATCCAGTGTTGTCCGGAAAGGGCCACGACTGCGTAGTTGTTCAGAAGTGGCTTTATTTTGTGCTTCAACAATGCGACCCTTCCTTGTTGGAACTCTAGCTGCAAAGACAAGGAAAACCAAAAATGAAATAATAGGTAATACCAGTATGAACACTTTTGCATACCTTTGCGTCATCATTTTTCTTCAAGCCCACCCAGGACCCCGAGAACCGTGAGCTCTTTGATGTGCTGAAGTACACAGTTGAGTGCAACAATGCCTGGTTCCGTGAGTTGTACAACCATGGTGTCTTTATCCCGCAAAGGTTTGGGGAGCCTATGGTGGGGCCTGCTTTTGGGTTGACTGAATCTTGCCGAATTACTTCTTGGCAGAATGCTTTGTTCTCCAAGTAGGCACAAAAGATCAGACAAAGTTACGCTTGTCTAAGGAGGGATTTGGTGCTCTCGCTAGCATGTGTGCAGAGCGCAATTGGGTTTTGTATCGTTGCAGACCAAAGCTGCATATGCACGAGCACATAGCGTGGCTTGTCCCAAAACATGCGGTATACAGTATACACTATATAGTATATATATTAGCTACAGTAAGGGACACTTATGAGCCATGCACTGACTTAGGCACGAACTTCAACAGCAATGCGAGATGGCTCCCCACGCCATTAACCCTCTGTGTGTCTCGGAATTCCTTAAGGATAGCCGCTGAAAACCCAAGCATTTACTGATCCAATGGCCCAATACAAACTTTGCCAGCAAAGGTTGGAGCTGCTGGCAGGACGAGGATTTCGTGGGACAGGTGTCCAGAGTGACAAGACGAACCCATGACTGGACCACGGTGGTCAGAAGTTTCACAAGAATCCTCATGCGCTACAAGAGGATTTTGAAAATAGAACCGCAGGATTGAACCAACAACCGAGGAAAAACTAAGTCCGGTGCCAGTGCGAGGTCCACCATGAACAGGATCACGCACAATATGAGGTGCATGTTGATCATCTCGAGGTGCTTCGAGCGGATTTTTGGGGATTGTACCCTTTTTTTGGCCTCGAACACTTTTATAGGCATTTGTAATGGAAATTTTGCGTGGCACAATTTTCAGGTACAAATGAAGGTGCAGGTACATATATACATATATACATATATACATATATACATATATGTATATATATATATAATTGTGCACCTGTGTTTTATCCCATTCATAAACAGGTGAATTGAGCAAGTTCTTCACCACATGGCCCACGGAACCGTGCACTCTGAGTGGCCGCTGGAGGCGATACAGAAATGGCCCAGTTCTTATAGCCAGTTGTCAGTCCCTGTGCCCCAGAGACGCCTGGGATTTTGAGGATGGCAATGGTGTCTCCATGGCTCCATGGCTGGGAAGAAAAATTGAAGCAAATGGACATCTACCCTCTGGTAAACATACAACAAGCTATTGAAGCCATGGCCATTGAAATAGTGAGTTTTCCCATTGATAGCATGGTGATTTTCCATAGTTATGTTAGTTTACCAGAGGGTATCTGCAGGAAAATCCATGGAAACTAATGAAACTATCCAAGGGGATTCGCAGAGGCGAAAGGGTGGTTTTTTTTCTGGCTGGGTGACGATCACCATATTCATGCATTTATTTTTGTGCTCAGCACTATGAATGTTCCACGTATAATTCACTCAAATATGGCTTAAATTTACCTCACAGAGATGTTGAAAACCAATGGTTTCCCTTAGAACATGATCTACACATGGTGGCTTTTCCACATCCATGCTAGTTTACAGGAGAGTAATGTTGGATATTCAATTTGGATTTGCAGTTTGTTGATGATTTGGACTTCTTTTCCCAATGGGAAATTCACTAGGACTGGGGATCTTTGTTGGGAACATGGGAAATGTTCTAGGTGTAACATCCCATCATTCAAGTCAAACACACGGAGTTTCCAGGGCGCGGAATGGCATGTTTTACCATGGATCCTGTGGGGCTTCCCCAACTCCAAGTCAAGTTCACTGGGTCAACCTTGATTTGAGAACCGAACCAGTACTTAAATCTGTTGCTATGGATATCAATGGTAAAATTATAGTATATAATTCTCCAGCAGCAAAAAACGATGTAGCTGTTGTTTGTTTGGTATCTAAGATTCACCATGAACGATTTGCCCAATGGCCCCCTCCCATGGTGCAGCAGCTTCAAGGCCACCTTTCCGAAGGTCAGTGGTGAACACGTCGCCCAGGAGATGGGTTGGTGAGCTCGCAAGAAATTCACGGGAGCCAACCACAATCAACCATTAAGATCAGATATTCATGGAGATCTAAAAGGATATCATGATCTTAATTGGATGAATAAACATGAATAGCAGGATATAATTAGATGGTTGTTGATTCATGATCCAAATTAGATGGTTGTTGATTCCTATAATGTTATATAATCTATTCATGAATCAACAACATTCAACAACCATCTAATTTGGATCTATAGGCAATATCATGAATCCAAGCACTGGATTAACTTTTTCTAACGGGAAACCATGGCACTAGATGTGTTGCGGCAGATTGAACGTTGGTCAACCAAATGTGGTTGTGTTGTTTTATTGCACGGGGAAACCTTCTAGAAATTCTTCCGTGAGAAGTGTGTTCCAAACCCCGATCGATGATCTGAATCTGTTCATGGCCATACCATCCAATATAGTCGGGATTAGCAGAATCCACAGGAAATCAGACCTATAAACCAGGCTGCTTTTGAAGAGACGATGCATTGCGGTGCTAGACACTCCTCGTTTTGTGGCAAACGTGCCATGAGTTGACCCCCTCTCGCAGGAGCTTTGGCGCGCCAAGGGCAACAAGGCTGGAGGGAGGATCATGGGGGCTTGGTGCTGAAACTGGGGATAGACGCAATGATCAACCAATTTTGCCATGTTCCAAATCTGCCATTTGGGGGGAATATGAAGAAACATACCAGAAACAGGAGTTGATTGTTGGATTTACTGTAGTATTTGTTCTTGGAAGTTGTTTGCAACTGTGTACCAAAGATTGCAAAACAGCATACATGTGTGAACAATCAACAGAAAATGCCTGAACAAAAATCAGAACAATGGGCTAGAATCGGAAAGGAACGATATTTAATCACGAGAAACATCAGCAAAATATGAGTAAACAATAAATGTAAGTAACATCTCCACATTTTGATCTTAGAATGCTTCGTGACCCCAAAACTTTGGATCTCTGACGATCCATCCAGGAAGCAGCCAAGAACGCCCTCCACCTAGGCAGGGTCTCCGCGGGATCATTGCAGCATTTCGGCATCACATATCAACGGAGTTAAAGCATGTTAAAGCTAATTATTTGAAGATGTTTGAACTATTTGAACATTGTCCACAAAGTTGAAACACCGGTTCATAAAGTTCAAACCCACCCAGGTTCCAATACTATTAGTTCAAAGTATAATAAACTATTATTTGATTATTGGCAAACCAACCCACAGTTTTTCACTTTGAGGTCCCAGAAAACGGGGCAGGAACTATTTGGATGTAGCTCTATGGGATAGCACAAGGCTGGGGCGCAAGCTGGCGTCCTGGCACTGGCAAGTGGGGAAACCTTCATATTTGGATGGCAAGAACCACAGTTTCCTCAAAAACACATAACATCTATATATATATATTTCTCCTCTAGTTATTGACCAAGGTGATGCAAAATGTCATGTACATGGAAAAATCATCGCACGAAATGGGCAACTTTAAAACATAGCTACAGTGAAATTCCCAGGGGAAAACATCTGTCAACCCACTAAAGCCCTAGAGGCGCCACCCTCCGCGCCAGGAAAGTCCAGTCGTTCGGCAACCCGTGCATTTCCGGCTGGTCAAGAGGACAGGTTTTTGGTCGGGGTGAAGCTGTTACTAAAACGGGGAATGAGTTTCACGAAAAATCTGCAAACAACCGTGTTTGCAGATTTGTTTGCATCTATACAAAGGAACATGTGTTCTTGCTGGCCCCACGCTTTTGCCGGATAGATTTATCCATGTGTCCTTATTGTCATTGGTGTTGTTATTGCCAAACTTATTTCAATCCGCATGGCAATGGAGAGTCAGTTTGACATGATAATGACTGTGCGTAGAATCATGGTGATAAACGCTACAATACAATGTAATACATCATCCTAGGTCTAAGTGGGTTGTCGGAGAAAAACAGTGTACCACTAACTCCACTGGTCCATCACAAGTGATAGTGTATACAACATTTATTTTCAGACACAGCTACTGTAAATATAACATAGGTATGGATCATTGTATCAGATCCCCATTCAACCACTACAGTTCCCCATTGTATGTCATTATATGTGCTATTAAGTCTAACTAGATCCTCCTCCCCATCAAAAAAATAGGTGAATGTACAGGGTAAAATGTAAAGTACATTTTGTTATGGGTACCTTGAGGTTCTAGGTATAGTAAGCCGCAAACAGATGCAGAAAAGCAACCATTGATTAAAATCGACTGAATTCTGTGAACAAATATGAAGTACAGTAGTTATATCAGCTATAGGTTTCCTAAAATAAGGGTACCCCAAATCATGGAAAATTAGACCATTTTTTGTATTGAAAGCCATGGTTTTGGGGTGCCACCATTTTAGGAAACATCCATTTAGGTAGATGGGATTTATATCCCCATGTGGTATCCCCATTATATACATTATATATATACACACACCATAATATTTATATATATATATATATACGCACCATAATATATATATATATACACACCATAATATATATATATATATATACACCATCATATATATAGTTACATATATATTTAATTATATATATAATTATATATATATATAATTATTTATATAATTATAAATAATTATACATATAATTATGTATGTATAATTATATATATACTTATATATATATTTATATATATATATTATTTAATTATTTTTATATAATTATATATAATTATATATAATTTTATATAGTTATATATAATTATTTAATTATATATATGATCATATATAATTGATTATAATTATATATACATATATAATTATATATATAATTATATATATGCTGCAGATGGTACCCCATGACGAGTCAGGACAGCAACGACCCCCAAAGGCACTGTCGCTGGAGCTGAATGGGGCACTTTTTTGGGGACGCATGGTGGTTTTTGTCGGGGGATGGGGATGCAATGGGGATTCAATGTGATGTTAATGGGATTTTAATGGGATTTTATAGGATTTTTATGGGATTGAAGGGGATGAAATGGGATTTAAGGGGCATGGGTTTGCGAAGTTGGTTTCTCACCAGGAGAATGGTTGTATTTATGTTGGATATCGTGGGGATACAATGGGATATATCGCCGACTTAGCAATATGATATGTGGTTGTGTGTGAAAGTGGGGTATACATACACCACCTAAACTTGTTTTTTTCGATTTATACCGAACATTGTTGATCCGTATGGCAGGCAAAGTATTTTTAGACAAATTCAAAGTGGGCCTCATAGTCGCAGTCAACTCCTTGGCAGAGCCCACTTATGGTTCCAAAAACGTAAGTTCTAACTGCCATGGTATGCCTCCATTTTTCGATGATACTCATTGGGTCTGGTGAATTTCCATCAACATACCTGCTAGTTTCAATGGATTGGTTTAAGGGAACATTTACAGGAAAAGCCCATATTTAATGAGAAAATCGATGGTTTCCGGTGTAGATTTTCCTACCAATCCATTGATAGTTACAGCGGAGTGACTCAAGAGGAGCATCCCGGGCAACCCATGCAACCCGGCACAGGGCGGTGCGACTGCCTGATCTGGCAACTCAACGAAGTTGAGTTGGGCAGAATGGGCTGAGTGGATACGGCAAGGATTAACCAGATGAGTATCAACAAAATGTGTAGGATTAACCAGTCGAACTATCATGATTATCCAACCAGTTGAGAGTTTATGAGATCAAGCGGTTTCTATCCAAAATGCGACCAAGCGCTTGAACTGGACTACACAACTGAGCCGATTTGTTTTTGTTGTACATTGCCACATGATTTGTGCCTCCCTTTGGCAAGGGGGTCATGTTGGTCGTTTTGTTTTTTTGGTCCTGTGAGAGGACTAGGAATTGTTGTGGCTTGGACTGCGAATGCACTCCTTCCTCAACATCGCACCGGTGGGACAGTGACAAAGTCTCATCAAATCTGAGTCAATGCCAGTGGTTTGATAGTGGTTCGATACAGTGGCTTCTAATTGTTCAGCGTAAAGGCCAACTGCAGCTCTGTCAACACACATCTTTATGCCAGTGGCGACATAACCGGTTTTTTTTCCCAGATAGAAATTCCAGAAAAGTGGTTTCTTGAAGTAATATGAACATGTTGAAGAATGGATAGATAACCTAAAAGTCATATATTATCTCATATATTGGATGTTCAGGAGAATCTGCGGGTTCAAGAATCATCTATACCATCTGGTGATTTTTTACAGTTCGCGAACTGGAAAATCACCATGCTATTAATAGGTAAACCATTTATAAATGGGCCATGGCTTCCATGGCTATGCTAAATAACCAGAGGGTAACAGATATGTTTCGTTTGGAGGTAAACCACTTTATACGTGTCATTTGAATGTGCTCGAGAAACATTCCAGCCTGTTTCCTTCCAAAAAAAGACAGAAAATCTTGACGGGTAACTTCACGTTTGCTACAAAGTCTATACTTTTCGAATTCAACAGCAACCTGCCAAAGTGGACAAGAACAGCACCCGCACCAAATCAAACCAAAAGCTCCCGTCCCAAGGGACCCCTCCGTTCAGTTTCCGTCTGAACTGTAACGATCTGGCTGGATGTCACTGTTCAGCAGTAGGAATTGCGCCCGCTTCAAAGCCGGCTTGTGTTGCAAAAATGCTGCTGGTGGGGTCTGGATTGATATTGTACCCGATGAAAACTTTGTCACAGATATGTTACTTCAAGATTACTCAAGTAGGGAGTCATAGGAAGCATCTGCCGAGAGAAACATGGTTCACACGAGCAAGTTTCAAGGCATGGGAGCTGTTTTTTGTTTGTCTTTGAATCGAGAGTGGAGCTATACCCAGGTCCAGCTGGAGGATGCTTAACCTTAGTGACACCGTGACACCCTGAACCCCCATCGCAGGCTTGGCGCTGGCCGCAAACCTCCATTCTTGGATATTGGGGTGCCACTCCGCGACATGGGCGATGTGTTTTCTCTTCGGTGTCAGCTAACTTTGGGTATTAGACATGGCAATTAGATGCAATTAGTGGGCGATAATGTTTCGGGCTAATGACAGTCAATAGTCAACACCATCTGGACCGATTATCTTTGCTTTCACCAAATTTGGAGTTAGAGAATGTGATTTAATTCTACACACACACATATATCATCATATATCTTGGGTCACGGTCATAGCATGATTAAACAAATCAAAATAACTCTTTGGGGGATCATGCAGCTTAGCAACTGGATAGCTACCTCTGGGTATTGGCCATATCAATTAGTGGCTTCTCAATGGTGAATGAACAGTCACTTCCATCTGGCAATTTAACTTGCAAGGCTGGAGAATCCCAAAACTAAATGGGCAGTAAAACATGGGAATTAAGTCATCGAACCAAATGGGGGATTCTTACGGAAAATCCATTGTCACGTAAGATTACTGAAGGAAACCATGGCTGGGTGAAGCAAACCAAGCTGATTCAGGTCAGATGACCAACCTACCCACAATCGTGTCTGACGAGAGTGCTTCACGGAGAGTGTATTTGACCAAGATCTTCCAAGAGTTTCTGAAAAAAGTGTTGCTGAACAAACATCATTTGCATAGTTGACAAGGCTCACAAGCAGCTGGTTTGCTCCGTTGGTTGGGATGTGGTACTGGGTGGAACCCTGTTCCACCTTGACAAATCACCCTGGCTACGGCGGCTACGGGTCAGAAATTTTAAGACCTGGGACACCACAGTTTGTTTCTATTCTTTTTAATTTTACCATCTGGCTATGACATTCCCAGTTCGCGAACTGGAAAATCACCATGCTATTAATAGGTAAACCATCTATTTCGAACTGGGCCATGGCTTCCATGGCTATGTCAGTCATAACCAGAGGGTATATTAACAATCCAATTACACTTGGGTAGCCAAGTTTGACCCTTCAGCTTCAGCGCAGGCTCTGCATTTCTGGAAGGAGCTCAGAAGAAGATCGAGTGGCTGGAGACTTAGCCGGCTCAGTTGACCATCCGTCATCAAAAACATGGCTGGCTGGCTGGCCGGGACAACATGGCTGGATTAAGCGGTCATTTGAATGGAAAAATCATCCACAAATTAAAATATGGACTCTAAGATATGAACATGAGGAACAGGGAGTAATGAAGCCGTAGGATAAATTTAGACTATATAAGTTAATCGTTCTGATATGTGATGCTTAGCAGAACTGATTGGATACAATCCGATTTGGGCTCGAGGATGATTGGGGCTTCCAGAGCACTGACACTTATACAGTTGCAATTGCCTTGTTATTTGAACTGGTAAATACCTAGATCACATCCAATACAGAACATTATTAACATAATTGTGTTTGCAATACATGTGACATTACTGCATACTCATAGCTACTTTCATCTCATCTAATTACTTCTTAGTTTGTTCCCCCAACGTCACCCAACATAGCGCACAGTATGTGTTTGATGAAAATAAAGTAATTACCCTGAAACATGATGAATGATATTGAATGATTATCCCCTCTTCTTCATCTGATATCCCCATTGATGGTTGGTCGAAGCCCTATTGGTGCAAAGTAGCGCCCCCCACAGTGACAACTTGGTTTGTGACCCCATCCACTAATCAGAAATCCAGCCGTTAGCCTGCGTCTAAACCAACTTAGCTAGCCAAATCCCATGAAAAATATCCCCATGACATTCCGAAAAACATCCCGCGAAATCGAAAAGAAATCAATCAGAAAATCAGAAAATCAGGGATCCTCCTGGTGAATCCCCATACAAACACCTTAATCTTTGTAAAACGACCAATTTGGAGGTTGAACCCGACCGGATTCGCGCCCTCTGTAGGTGTCCGGATTCGCTGACCGTTGGAAGCATCGTGGGGCTGTTGGTGACCAACCATGGGGACCGGGCCAGATGCGGACGCGGAGCGTTTTGGATGGGTTGATCCACCAGAAATATGGTGATTTTGTGGTGTTTTTTTTTGGAAAAAATTGAGATGTTTACCATCTGGTTATGACATGTTATGACTAACAGTTCGCGAACTGGAAAGATCCACCATGCTATTGATATAGGTAAACCATCTATTTCGATTAGGGCCATCTATACCATGGCGAACTGTTAGTCATAACCAGAGGGCAATCAATTTGTGATAGGTCCAGGTAAGTTGGTGGAAAGGTAAGTTGGCTGGTGGAACTAGCTTGGCCAACTGTTGGATGTATGGTGGACATGTTGAACCAGTAAATTAGTTCGATGGGGTTTTTCAACCAAGAAACATCACCGGAAAAGGGCCCTTTTTCTGTTTGGGGGAGATGATCATTCCAAGGTGGTTTTTCTCAGCACTTTTAACATGATTTCACCAACCAAAATTTGAAGCTTTGACATAGAAAAAGATGGCTATATATACTGTTGATCAAAGCTCAAAGCGCCGGAGACCAGATCCATAGGTCATTTTGGTAAAGAATCATCTCATTCGACACATGCTGAGCAGTGTTCAAAACCGGCCGTGGTTGAGAAACTGGCTGGTTGCTTACAGGATTTCCCAGTTCATGGATGGCAATCATCCTCACGATATGGGAAAGTATGTGTATACAATTGTGTGTATAAAACATAATCAACCAACATGGACGAAACTAATCTTACCAGTTCCAGCGCTAGGAGAATAGCAAAGCCGATTTTTCAGCAACAGAAAGCATGGTTCCATAGTGGGAGATATGAGTTTTCCCGGTCGAAAAACATGTTCCCGGTCATATCATGGTTCCATCGCTGTTCGGAACATGGTTACTTGTCCCAAGATTCTGAGTCAGAAGCGAAAAAGACAAAAAAAATAGCGCCCTTGCAGCAAGGGCCCATGCTTGGTGTAGAACCGTTCCTTTTATTAGATTATTTGACTTAAAGTGAATAGGCTTCCTTGTTAGGTTTGTGATTTACCACACATACGCAAGGAAATGCTCGTAGTTGAACCCAGTCTCTGCAAATCTGCAAGTCCAGATGTTTGAGTCCCCATGTTTCTCGGTGAAGTAATAGCTTCCTGGCTGGAACTTGAATTGATTGGCTTAAATCCACATTTATTGTTGGTTGAATCACCATGTGTGTTGCTTAAAGCATCATGTTGGATGATCAAACCAGTATTATTGTTTTTTTTGCAACAAGTTATGGCTGTGTACATATTTATACATGTGTGTAAATACATGCATATGCCCTCCCTCCGGTAATCAAACGTGACTGGGAAATCACCAAAAGATAGAGGTTTATAGCTGGGAACATCATCGAACTAGCCATCTTTGATTACCGAATTGTGTATGTGTATATATATATACATAATATACATACATAATAATCAATGTCCATTTCTAACTGTCTACTTGACTATTAGAAGAAAAGCTCTCAAATGTATTCATCGGCCGCAGGACATTCAAGTTCTGGTGGATAATGAGGTGGTGGCATCCCTGCAAGGCTGTGAGACCAGGGAAGACTGGTACAGAATTTTGATTTGCCTCAGGAAAATGGTGATTTGAGTACAGTGAAAATGGTGACTTAAACTAGGGAACATGGTGGATAATGGTGATTTCATCAGAATTCTGTGTTTTAGCTAGGGAACATGGTGACTCAATTTGGGATTTCATGAG